AGCAGGTGGTCTTCGCCGTCGCGCGCGTCGTCGTGCGCGGCCCGCGACAGGTACGGGTAGCCGTGGCGCACGGCCGCGAGCGTCGCGGCGACCAGGACGAGGGCAAAGGGCGAGGCCGCGACGGCGTGTGCGGGCGTTAGGCTAGCGGGCGAGGATGGGCGACAGGCATCGTCGCCGCAGCCCGAAAATGGCCACATGGTTTTTTTTTTTTTTTCTTTTGAGCCTCTGGTATAAATCTGGTCTCGATGCTTAAATTTGGGCTGTTTGTTTAATAAAAAGAAAAAGAAAAAAAAGGGTCGGTGATGATGGTGGGAGGAACGAAGACGAGGAAGAAGTCGAGGGTCGTGGGCGGGGCAGTGTGCAATGTGCAGTTGTTTGCAGCTTGCGCAAGCCTTCTTTCTCGCTTAAGATGGATGGGTAGTGGTAATACGGGTAATACAAGGAGCGTCTCACACGTATGTTTGAGAAAAGAGTCGACGAAGAAGGAAAAAGCTCAGCCCACGTGTTTCCGCAGACAAATAAAGAAAGAATGCAGGGCGAATCTGAACTGTGGATAGTTGATGAAGACGGTTGCAGACAATGAAGAAAAAAAAAAAAAAAACTGACAACAGACGCAAAAGGAATGTAGAAGCAATACAGGTAGGGCGGGACCAGTGCAAGGCTGTAACTAGAAACACAACGCCGCCTACGTGGACCTATATTGGGATGCTCGTATTATTCACCCAGAAGAGAAGGCTGGCGTAAAATAGTGCGAAAACGTCACGGATAACGAATCAGCTAGATAGACTGCCGCCGATCGCCAGTGTACGAATAATGCAACTAATGCATGTACAGATAACTAGGTACCTTGGATCAATGGTGATGCAACCAACCTTGGCCGCATGTAGATGTCGGCTTCAGCTCCTCCTGTCGCACCGAACCCCTGCTATCTGTGTATGTATGGCTTGTCTTGCCCTGATTGTTTTGCTTTTTTCGAATATTGACTTTATATCCATTTCTGATTGTATACATTCTTCATTCATTTACTCCCCATTGCTCCGGATGCGGTTTTTCCCTTGGTTCCAGCGCTAGTAGCCAGCCCACTAGGTACCTTACCCATCGTCCCATCGTCCCACAGTTTGCATGTCTCACTCAGTCCAGGTACTGGCCAAGAGGGGTCCAAATTCGTCATTACAATTTACAAGTACGGATTAGTTAGTTTACAACAGCTTACTGGTAAGCCGGCTCTCCTGACCCTCAAGCCATTTCGTAGTTGCCTTGTTGCCTTTTCTTCGTCAACAGCTTTCACTGTAGTAAATTCCATAGTCTCGGAGCGTCGCACCTCTATATGTCGACTTACTCAGGCCTCATGCACACGATGCTCTAGTCTACTGATACATTGAACAGAGTGTCTGTTCTGAAACAGCCCGTCTTCTGCATTAACATGTTTCTGTTCCCATATCTGTAAAAAAATCGTCTTTCGACTCGCTGGTCAGTGTGCTAAAAATACATCGAATCCATTTGCTCCTCTCCCCGCCTGTGCCCTCTTTCCGTGGCTCATCCTGCAATTTCAAGCAGTGACTTGTGCTCACAGCCAGTATACAACTTTTCAGTTGCCACTCTTCACACTCTTCTCATGTGATTTGACTGCTGTAAACGAATCCAGCTGAAGCAGCCTCCTGCTCCTCATCAACTCTTCTTGCTTGACGCGCCGGCTCACTGGGCCTATCATGTGCTGTATCATGTACAGTGTTGACGCTTGCGGGTGAATGCCACAAAAGGGCTCTACTGTTTCCCCGGCATCGCTTCCTTGATGTCCTTTTCCACCTCGACGCCACTCTATGGCGATAGCTTGTTATCTGCCGACCCATCATCCTCGTCTTCTTCAACGTCCACACCTTGACGGAGAGCCTGCGCTTCACCGACCTCCATCTTGTGTAGTTGTTCAAGTTTCTGCTTTTGGTTGAGGGCTTGCGTTCCAGACACAACCTCAAACTCCCCGTCCTCTTCCTCTTCTTCATCCTCGCTGTTCATCGCGCTGACTGGTGAGACATCCCCCATGTTGGGGCTCGCCGCTTCTCCGCTGGCCCTCGACGCTGACGCTGCCGGGGACCGTGCTCGAAGGTAGTCATTGGGGTTGATAGGCTTGATAGTCGGGTCAAATGCCGCAGGAAGCCCCAAAACCTTGGCCACTTGGTGCGCCTCCTCGTCGGCCGAGATTTGCGTCTCCAGCTCGTATGTGCTACTGGTTTCGCTGTCGGCCTCGTGCTTGCCTAGCGTTGCCGAAAGCATCCCCAGGTACGTCTGACGGCTCGAATCGTTGGCGCGCTTCACCTTTTTCTTGATGCGCTTCTCTGTAGGCCGCACCACCACGACCGGTACGGGCGAATATTGTAGACAGTATTTCGAAAATGAGTTTCGGTTGTTGACAAGGCCCTGGATCCCGCCTAGCGATCGACCTCTGGTTCCCACAATCAACATCGCTGGCTGGTACATTTGAATCTAAAGCTTGTTAGCGGCCTGCTCCAGCCCTGTCCTGGCAGCTGTTTCGACTTACTAGTTTCTGGAAGGTGGCGTGCAGTTTGCCGACGGCATATTCGAGCACAATGCTGACGGCCCGGTTGGCCCCATTCTTGGCCAAAATTCCTTGCATGACATGTTGCGCATCTTCCTGGTACTGCTTATCGTTCATGCGCACTTCCCTCTCGAGCACACGCACGCACACAATCTCGTCGCCGTCGTCGACGAGCTCGTCCAGCAGCCACTGTATGGCATAGTCCGAGTACGAGTTCTCGTCCACGCCAACCATGAATATGCGCGATCGTCGTCTCGCCTGGTAGCCCTTATGCCTCACATTGAGGGTCAGAGATGTCGTGTTGTGTTTGGTAGCCTCTCCATTGGGCACATTGTCGAAGCCGACGTGGTGCTGAAACCTGTCGCGAGGTGGCACGGTTAGCGTTGACATGTCGCGCAAACGCTCCAAGGCGGTACAAATGTACGGTTTGAGTAAATATGAATGCGTGGGATGACAAGCAATGGAGGAGGGGTACAGGTTTTGGAAGATGACGATGGAAGGAGATCAGGCAAGGACGAGCGTGACCGAAAGTCAAATGGACTGGTGATGTGGCTCCAGGGCGCAGCAAGGCGAAGCGCAGCCTGAGCAGCGGGGTAATTGCCAGCTGCAGCTGCTAGCACCAACGCAGGCACTGCCAGAGCCGCCCAGGCCAGAGTTTTGGGGGCCAGTCGCGGGGCTAGCAAAACTTAAGCCGCCGCTGGTGGGTGGTGCAAGCCCGTCGTCGTGAGACTCGCGACCGTGCAGCAAGGAAAAATAGACATTTCGAATACGAGAGTGAGTATAGTGCGTGCGACATTGACAGCAAAGCCAACTTGGCTGCCAACTCAGAGGCAACGTCCTAGTCGCGACACTCGACGCTTTCTCCCAGGCTCGTCGCCGCGCCCGCCACTTGTGCACAAGATCATCGCGCCCCTGCAGGTGCACGTAGCCAGTCTAAACTGCATTACGCCTCTTCTAGGCAGGTCACCAACTGGCAGTGCATTGCTGTCATGTCCTGCGCCGGCGCCATTGAAGCACCGCGACTCAGGATGCGCTCCACGATCTCCACCCTTACCCGATACTCTATTTGGACCCAGCTTCACATTTATGCACGAGATGGACGACCAACTCTTGCATGTATCAGTATCGTGACGGGCAGATTGGCGCACTCGCACCTCGCTGCCGCTGTCTCAGGCTTCTGAAATGGGGCGATCGCGGTGCCGTACTTCCGAGTCTGATCAACGCGCACTTTGAAAGGCCGTGCTTCGTTACAAATGAAACAAGGGCAAGAAAGTGACTGCTTAGGCGAAGGGGTGACCCTTTGCATGCCAAGACGGCCTGCTACTTTCGTGAAGCAAAAAAAAAATTAGAAGAACGAACCTTTCTGGAGGTGGTGAGCTTGCACGGATACGCGCCGCGTGCTCTTGTAGTTCGAGCCCGTGCAAGGACGCGGAATATCGTGGTCGGCGCGACGAGACCGAAGACGTAGACAGCTTCCTGCCGAGCGATATGGCATTGCCAGGGTCTGTGTCGTTGGAGCTGCGTCGCGTTGGCAGCTCATCCTGGAAGGAAATTGTCGATTCGCGGCGACCAGCGATGGATCCATTCAGGTGGTAAGACGGGGCTTCTTGTTCCTGGATCGAAGCCAGCTCCGACTTGAGAGGCCCGACAGCAAAGTAATCGTGCAGCCCGCGAGTCCTAGACGAGACGTCGGGTCCGGCGCTGCGGATGTCATGTGGCGTCACCATCTTGAGCATTTTGGCGGATGGGCGCTGCGAAGCAAAAACGGTCTCGTTGCTGGTATCGCTGGTCAATGTATCAGGCATGGACGCAGTTGCTCGTAAAATGCACAATGCGAACAATGTCGTTGGCGAAAGAAAGGTTGTTGCAATGAGCCTCCAAGGTAAGGGAAAGTGTCACTTAAAGTTAATTCGGCCCACGATGCTAATTTTGGCGAACGCCCCCAATTGGGCCACAGGGTCAGGACTTTTCCAAGACAATGTTGCAGATGGCGTCGGCGACAGTGTCTTTCTCGGCACAAAATTGCCGACCACAGCAGCACAGCAGCAATGCACAGACCGTCTGTGTTTGTGAGCTGCTTTGGCGGAAAGACGGTTCGTATGAGATGGCTGTCTGAGGTGAACAAACAGGGTACGGTATTGCTGAGAAGCTGGGCTCGGGTTACAACAAGTGGCAGTGACGTGTGAGACAGAGATAAGGCGAAGCCTAGACTGCTGCTGCACGCCGCTAAAGCAGGTGGCGGAGAGCAAGACGGATAAACAAGAACAGGTTACAGCCGGGCAACGTAATCGAACGACTGGGCGTTTAAATGAGAGGGACGGACACAGGCGTTGACGGTTTGGCCGGGGATGGCGAGATGCAGGCGACAGGGCGTAGAGCACAAGCTGCGCTGGCGAGGAGGGTAGTATTCAATCTGTCAAGGCGGGAGTAACGGCAGCTGGCGTTGATCTTGTTCTTCGGCCTGTGCCAGAAGATGCCAGGGAGAGAGAAGGACTAAGACGGCTGTTCTAGAAAGAGAAGTCGGTCAATAACCTCGTGCTGGCCTGGCGACAAGGTATTGGCCACGAGGTGCGAGAGGCTCTTCAATACGTCTCCAACGACAAGGTCCCTTGTGTAACGGTTAGTTGGCGATAAAAAAAAATATGGCCGCAGCTCTGCAGGAAAATGGCAACTAGATGCAGATGCAAGTACTGTAATAAAAGGAGTAAAAAATCAAGTCAAGAAATCGGCGATGGACCGGAGAAATAGAGCTGAAAGACACGGGCAATCAACGTACGAGGCACAGTCGCCAAGGCGCTGCCAGATACTGGGGCGGTAATAGAGGGGGATGCCCTTGTCAAGGCGGGCCGAGGATAGCTCGCAAGCTTGACCCACGAGGCAATGTTGTTCGCTGTTTGCTGCTTAATTGTTCTCTTCTTGTGCTTTTTCTCAAACACGGGAAAAAAAGCTGTTCGCAGGTTGTCGGTGCGAGGGCCTGACAAGGTTGCAATGGGATGCGATGGAGATGGCTCGGGTTGAAGGGAGGGGCGAGACGGAAGACGGGGAATGCTGGATTGGCAAAGCAATATTTTCTAGATTGATTACCTGTTGAGCGAATGCAGCTGTGGCAGCTGAAAAGTTTGTGCGCGGGAAGTTTTGCCGGCTGGCGTGTTTGCAATGCTGCGTTTGCAGGCTTTTGCTCCTTGTCATCAGCTTTGCCTCCAGTCGTTGCAATTGAGAAGATTGCGACGGAATCACTGGCAAGCGCAGCGTGGTTAATATTCCGACGAGTTCTACCAGCGTATGTATAGTAAAGAGTCTCTCTTCTTATTGCAATCTCTGTTGGCTCCCTGTGGTATGTTATTATGATCCAGGCCGCACCATCTGCTTTGCTAACAAGCCAGCAAGCCTGCAAAGGTGACTAGGCTGGGATGTGGACAGGGGACCCCAGATTCGACTTCAACCAACACGAATAATCCGTAGAAGGTTTTCGAAAGTGCGATGGGACGCACGACGCCAGGTGACACGGCGGAGACGCCCTGGCCGTTCGTGGGCACAGGCGATTCGATGTCTCGGTGTCTCTATGCACGATTCAGAGGCATGGGATGTTGAAATTGCGGGTGAACGACCATGCAAAAACAGAGTTGCAGCAATCATCAACAACCATCCTAGACAAAGCGCATAGTCAGGAGAGGATAAAGGCCCCTCTAAACCTTCCCGTCAGCGTCCTGGATTGCACACCAAGTTAATCAACACATCATTTCATCCATGCTAGGGTGATGCGCCCGCCCACCGCGGCTCCGCGTTGGCTACCCGGCGTAGCGTTGCAGGGGGCTGTTCAGGCTCGGGTGGGGAGCAGTTTGGCAGTGAATTGCCAGGCAATCCAGGCAACAGGTGCCAGCTTATTGTCACCCGCAGCAGTGATGACAGAGCAACAAGACACAGCCACTTTGTCTTGGGACGAGTTGCGGCACATGCACGTGTTAGCTTTCAGCCTAGCAATATAGGGCCAGAAGCCACCTCACTTTAGCTCGCCGCCACCCAGCCCCAGTGATGGCCGATGACGGCTTGCGAGAAGCTGATCATGCTGGCTAGCCACTTATCGACTTTTCTTTCATCTGGCCGTCGGCAACTCTGACAGCAGCCACAAGTTCAAAGAGATATAATGAGACAATCGACCCCCAACAGCCCACGTCCTCTCCACGACATTCGGACATGCCGTCAAATGAAGCGCCAGTGGCAGTGCAGTGCTCCCGTACGTGTTGGGAGCAACATCGGAGCATATTGGGCTGGGATACGACGTAAAACTTTTACAAGGGCAGCTCAGGCAAGACATTGCTTTCAAAGGCGGAGCATCTGCCGTCGGCCGGCCCTAAAAGATTGGCAACCCTTCAAATTTATACCCACCCATATCATGCATTTTATCATGGTGCTTATTCGAATCGCATCTGCCGCAATAACACCATACTTCTATTATTTGGCATGGTCTCGCAACAGCCGTGTCGGGCCTGCCGCAGTAGACGCAAGCAACACGATCTTGTCTCCTTTGCTCTCTCAGCTCAGGTGGCGTATTTACAGGCTCATATTGGCATCTCAGCCTCAGCGTGCACGACGAGAAACAATACACCTTGGCTGTATAAATAGCCGATCCTCCCTGTTTACAGCTTGGCATCGCACGCCTCGCCATGAAATGAAAATGCGCGGCGAGTCTTGGCACGGTCACGCGTGGGAGCGTCCGGTTCGGCTGGCCACAACGGGTACAACGGCGGCGGCCTCTTCTTCGACCAGTCGGCGTGGGGGTGATGGCCAAGAGAAACTACAGCACGCTGGTGGATTAGATTCATATCCGCTGAAGGGAATGGCTTGCTCATCCGCATAGGGAGAGGAGTCGATGTGCAGCGATATACTGCACTGGCTGCCATCGAGTACGAAGTACGGATAGTTATGGCCTCATCCGTCGCGCTGCCAAAGCGCAAGAATCCCCAGCCTAGAAAGCCCCCCTCTGGTGCCATCTAAAGACAGGCGAGGATCTAACCATGAGGTTAACCTTGTTCCAGCCACCCCTCATGTTCCAACAAAGCAAAAAAATCATAGTGGCGTTCTAGGCCCTACAGGGTCTCGGCCACGGTTCATTGTCACCGCTATTACCATGGCACGAGCGCTGTGGCTGACGCTGCAGCCGCTGTGTGCATTACTCAGTAAATACTTTGCCAAAGAGGTACGGAGTACTGATGCCACTTTTTAGGTACCTAGGTACCTACCTACAGAGGCATCCTCACCCGCGCTGCACTCAAGTCACCACTCCAGACGAGTATTCCAGCGACGGAGGCTCGATATCAAAACGCCCTCAGACCAGTGAGTGGCCTGCTGATTACCATGAAATGCAAGAAAGACGAACAGTAGGCATATATCGATTATCGGCATACATACTCCATACTTGGCCATGCAACACATCTACATATCTTGTCATGAACCGACAGCCCACATCTCTTCGACTGATTTACTACTTTTTCGGCAATGTCAGCCAGGCTGTCAGGCAGCAGGCTGGCTCAAACTTCTGAGGCCGGCCTGTGAGCACGTCTCTTCCCAAATAAGAAGGAACCGCGTTTCCGTCTGCCAAGCCGTCCTTGCGAGGCCCGGCGCCCGCAGCAGACCAACCAACGCCGCACACGGTTGACACCTCGACCGACTGTACAGTCCCCACGCATCCATCCGTCGGAGCCTCACTCCTCCTCGCCTGTAGATTTGGGGGCCGGCCGGCTGTTATCTGCTCTGCCAGATACACGCACTTCTTGGGGCCTTTCACTTTTTCCGATACACCAGTTTGGCGATGAGAGGACGGTGATAAAGAGATGGCCGGTTTGGTGATGCGCTCTGCTCGTTTTAAGTTGCCGCGTGCCTTTTCGCTACTACACCGCTCAACGCTCGACTACGACTTCCCCCGCTGCCCAGGACGGCACGTCATGTTCAAGTCTTGGTGTCCGGCCCGCCCGCGTGGACTTTGCGACATGATAGCCTCCAGCTCTGGTTCTTGGCAGGTTCTCTGGCGACCTGCATCGGAGCATCCATGACGGGTTGTCTCGGTTCCCGAGTAAGCATTGCCATGTGTCGCTCATCTTTACCGCTTTCCGCCGTGATCTGCATCTGGGGCAACAACAGCTTCCCCGCGCTGATGGCTGCAACCCGGAAAACGTTCGTGAGTTTAATCCTTTTTTTTTGTTATGGGAATGACTAAATCTAGCAATGTACGTAATCATCATGTCGGCAGAGAAATGCCCCAGCACATCCCTTTAATCCGCTCTCTGTTCATCATGACCAGTCGCTTTTCAGCTCTATGCGCAATTTTTTCTTCCATCATCGCCCCTATCCGCAATATTAAAAGGAATAAAATCAGGGCCTCAACGCCGCGACGCCATTGCCATGCAGCCCAGTCGACTTGTGACGCTTTCGTCTACTAAACAGCGCTGTGAGCTAGGCTCTAAAGCCTCTTGGCAAAAGTATCTGCCTGCTTCGTGTACAACGTGACTGAGGGCCTCGAGTAGAAATGTCTATACAGACAGATAAAGAAAGGTCCCTTGTTCTCAAAATCGGAATCGTCTCTAGTCGGATCGCGCGTGAATACAAAACTTAGTTGTACGTGCGGGACAGATTACGGAGATACCAGTCAACGAGCTTGCGGCCGACCTTGGCCTCAGAAATATGAATCAGATCGCCCTGCAGGGCATAGTCGAGGTCGCTGACGTTGACAAGGTCGCCGTCGAGCAGGCCCTTATCCTGCCAGCGGAGCTGCTTCGTGCGCTGCTTGGTGACCATGAGCCAGGAGCGGAGCTCATCGGGCTTGACCTCGAGGAAGCCAGCGAGCTTGCTGAGGTCCATGGTGGTGTAGAGGCGAAGGTAGGACTTGATGGTGGGGCTCCACATGTTGGTCTTGACTTCGTCCATGAAGACGGCGAGGTGGTGCTCGACCGGGTCTAGGTTGGCCTCGGGGTTCTCAAAATCGGGGACGACGGGCGAGATGAACTTGGGGCAGGCCGTGCGGAAAAGCTCCTCGAAGATGGGAAGGGACTCGGGGCCGCCGCGCTGTAGCTTTAGGAGCTGGTCACCGTACTTTTCGCGGAGTGCGGTGTGGATGGTGTCGTCCAGGCGGGTGGGGTGGAACGCGACGCAGATGGCGATGAGCGCGTACATCTGCTCGTTCTTCTTGGTGATGGAGTCGTATTGTGCGTTCTTCTGGAAGTTCTTGGTCCTCGACACGTAGATGAGAATGTGGCTAAACATGCGGATGGCATCAGCATAGCGATGCATCATCATGTAGGAGAAGCCGACATAGTAGTATGTGGTGAAGTGGGCGGCCATGACGCGCGCAAACATGGCCTTCTTGTTGAGCTCAATGTCGTCGAGGGTCCTGAGGGCCAGGCCGAAATCGCCCATCAGGCAGTGGACGCGGAGCAGACCGATGATGGAAAAGTATCCGAGCATGCGGTACAGATTCTTGGAGCCGTACTCGCCGGCCACAGCCATGGGGTCCTCGTTACGCTTCATGGCGGCCAGCTGCTCGGTGATCTGCGACCGTTGAATCAGAGAGTACAGGACGTTGAGGACACTGTAGCAGCCCCAGGTGTTGGGGTTCTCCTTGAGGATCTGGAGCTCCTCATCGTTGTTAGCCTGACGAGCCAGTCGCAGTCTATACGTGGAGAAGGAGTTGAACTGGTAGATGAACTCGTCAATCACATCCCAAGCCCAGTAGTACTAGTAAAGTCGTTAGTTTTCCAGACATCGCCAGCAGCCAGTTTCTGGAGGTGACGAACTGAAGGGGGCTCGAGATCCACGGGGCCGTCCGAGTTGAGAATGAAGTGGAACAAGCTGCAGTACGAGTCGTAGCTCTGGAACTTGACCTCGAGCGGAGCGGAAAAGTCGAGAGGCTGCGCCGCCTGGACGAGGCGGGCCTGGATGTCGTCGGTTTGGGGGACGCTGTTGGTCTGGCTGAGCTCCTCGCCGTCCTCGTACTGGACCTGCTCGCGGTAGTCGTTGACGAGAGCCTCCTCCTCGACATCGCTGTCAACGTCAATCGCGCGGGCGGGCGCGCTGGTCTGATAGGTAGCCATGCTGGGTGGCTGCGGTGGCGAAAGGGAGGGAGTGAAGGATCGCGAAACGCTCGTCGTTGTCGTCTGCGTCGAGCGGTCGAGTCGAGCCGTGATATTCGCGGGACAGAGGGAGGGGCAGGCACCGAAATTTTGCGCTGCTTTGAGAGGGGCCGCGATGTCTGGCCGCGAAATTTCGTGTCTGGTTAGGGCTTGTGGTGCGAATATTGAGTTAGCCCCTATAGTAGAGCTGCGTAGCTGCATATCTAATGCAAATATCGAGCACCATCTCGGTGGGGCGTCTTTGACGTTGAAGCGGGGCGTCGGCCAGCAAGAAGCAGTGCGTGAACCCTCTGCTGAGCAACTCTGTATACAGGATTTCCCTTTCTGCAACTTTTCTACATTATTCATTCTGACGAATTCTACTAGCTCCGTTCCAAGAATCAGCCACTCTAAGAGCTACCTTTCTATTCGTGGTGGTGGCCTCGTTGGGCTCTCTGGTGGGGAAGTTTTGAAGAGTCATAACGTTGATGACAAAATCTGGGAACAAGCCTGCAGCTAGCTTAAAAGTGACAGTTTACAGCCTCACCTGTTAACAAAAGTCAAACTATATCATACGCGAGGCCATTTTAAATTTCTTCACTCTTGTTTGAATTGTTTGTCATTTGGCGTTTTGCATATTTCAGCACTTGCGTTGTCGCATCATTAAGGCACCATGCCTGTGGTCACGCCTGAAAAGCTTGCAAGCCTGCAACGGCAGTCGCAAGACATTCGCAATGTGAGTAGCAGAGGCAATGATTCAAGCATCATAAGCTGACAATATCCTAGATTTGCATTTTAGCCCATGTTGATCATGGCAAGACTTCTCTCACAGACGCCCTCTTGGCGACAAACGGTATCATTTCACCAAAGCTTGCGGGCAAAATCAGATATCTAGACTCCAGACCCGATGAGCAGTCCAGAGGAATCACCATGGAGTCCTCCGCTATTTCACTATACTTTTCCATGCTTCGAAGATCAGCGCCAGATGCTACACCGGAGCCCAAGGAATACCTGATCAACCTCATCGACTCTCCCGGGCACATCGATTTCAGCAGTGAAGTTTCCACCGCATCGCGCCTTTGCGATGGCGCCGTCATCCTCGTTGATGCGGTTGAAGGGGTCTGCAGTCAAACAGTCACTGTACTTCGCCAAGCATGGACCGAAAAGCTGAAACCGCTACTTGTCGTCAACAAGATGGATCGATTGGTCACCGAGTTAAAAATGACGCCCAACGAGGCTTATCTTCATCTCAGCAAACTTCTAGAGCAGGTCAATGCAGTTCTGGGCAGTTTCTTCCAGGGCGAGCGAATGGAAGAGGATCTCAACTGGAGAGAAAAGATGGAGGAGCGTGTGAATGCTGCCGCCGCGGCTAAAGCTTCCAGCAACGATGACAATACCGACTCTGTGGATCTGGAATTCGAGGAAAAGGATGACGAAGACATTTACTTTGCGCCAGAGAAGAACAATGTCATTTTCAGCACAGCTACTGACGGCTGGGCGTTTACGTGTCGTCAGTTTGCCAGTCTATATGAAAAGAAGCTTGGCATCAAGCGCGGCATTCTCGAAAAGGTCCTTTGGGGCAACTTTTACTTGGACCCCAAAACGAAGAAAGTACTGGGGCCGAAGCATCTCAAGGGCCGCAACCTCAAACCCATGTTTGTGCAGCTGGTCCTCGAGCCTGTCTGGACAGTGTATCAAGCCACTACTGGCGGTGATAACGGCAAAGGCGACCCAGCACTCTTAGAAAAGGTCACCAAGTCTCTCAATGTCACTATTCCACCACACATACTCAGAGCTCGTGACCCTCGACTGCTCCTTACGACTGTCTTTGCTTCCTGGCTGCCTCTCTCTACGGCACTTTTAGTCTCTGTTATTGAATCGCTACCTTCGCCGCCTGTTGCGCAGCAAGAACGTATACCTGGAGTGCTAAACAGCTCTCCAGGCGCCGCAAGCATAGATCCTCAGATTCGCGACGCCATGACGGCATTCAAGCGCGAAAAGTCCGATCCTGTGGTGGCATATGTCAGCAAAATGGTTTCCGTTCCGGAGAGCGAGCTCCCTGAGAACAAGCGCAAAACTGGTCAGATGACTGGTGAGGAGGCGCGCGACTTGGCAAGGAAGAAGCGCGCGGAAGCTGCACGAGCTCAGGCAGCGCTGGAAGTAAATGGAAACGGAGTCGGTTCTCTGACTCAGGCCCTCGGGGACGTCAATCTCGACGATCACGTTCCAGAGGCTGAGGAGAAGGAAGCTGATCCTGAACACTTGATTGGATTCTCCAGGATATACTCTGGTACTATCTCCGTTGGCGACAAGCTTTACGTCGTCCCGCCAAAGTGGTCCCCCGCCGAGCCCAACGCCGGACCAAGGCCCCAAGAAATCGAAGTAAAGGCCTTGTACATGTTAATGGGCCGGAGTCTGGAGGCCCTAACCTCTGTTCCCGCTGGTGTTGTCTTTGGCATTGCCGGTCTGGAGGGCAAGATACTCAAATCCGGAACACTTTGCAGCAAGCTTGAGGGCGCTGTCAACCTGGCCGGCGTGAGCATGGCTGGCCAGCCTATTGTGCGTGTTGCACTGGAACCCGCCAATCCTGCCGACTTGGACAAGATGATTGATGGCCTTCGCCTGCTTGTGCAGAGCGACCCATGCGCCGAATACGAACAATTTGCCAGCGGAGAACACGTGCTCCTCACTGCTGGTGAGCTTCATCTAGAGCGCTGTTTGACGGATCTCAAGGAACGATTTGCACGCTGCGATATTCAGGCAGGAGCTCCCATTGTACCCTATCGCGAGACTATTGTTCGTGCAGAGGAGATGAAGCCACCTGTGAACAAGGACCTTGGCCGCGGCGTCGTCGTTACGGATACCAGCTCCAAGCAGGTCACATTGACCATTCGCGTGCGGCCCCTACCTGAAAGCGTCACCGAGTTTCTCAACAAGAACGGTGACTCGATCAAAAAGGTATACAACGAACGCTGGCAAATAAACACAGGAGACGACGTTGAGAGTACGGGAGACGCTATCGCTGTTGAACCGACTGTCACGTCAAGCACGTTGCTATCTGCAGAGGAGCTGAAGAAGCAGCTTAAAAAGGAACTGGAATCAGGCAAGGGTCGTGACGTCTGGAAGAATACAATTGATCGCATAGCTGGATTCGGACCTCGAAGAACTGGCCCCAACCTCCTCATTGACGCTACGAAGGACAGTGTCCTGCCTCGTGTATTCGCGACAGCAGACCCCAAAGACGCGCCTCTAGCCGTCGGAGAGGCTCTGCAGGCTAGCGACTTGGCCGACAAGATTACCTACGCTTACCAACTCTTCCTTGCACAGGGACCACTCTGCAATGAACCCATTCAGGGAGTTGCTGTATTTGTGGAAGACGTCACTTTAAATCTCGCCGAAGACGACACATCCGCGCGAGACAAGCTCGGCCGCCTCACAGGTGAAGTGATCAAGGCGTTCCAGTCTGGCGTGCGCATCGGTTTCCTGGACTGGTCGCCCCGCCTCATGCTGGCCATGTACAGCGTGGAGATTCAGGCCTCAACCGAAGTGCTGGGCCGCGTCTACGATGTTCTCACCAGACGACGCGGGCGCGTCATTTCCGAGACGATGAAGGAGGGGACGCCATTCTTCACCATCCAGGCGCTGCTCCCGGTCGCCGAGAGTTTTGGCTTTGCGGACGAGATGCGCAAGCGAACCAGCGGTGCTGCCCAGCCGCAGCTCATCTTTGCCGGCTTTGAGATTCTGGACGAGGACCCGTTCTGGGTGCCGTTTACCGAAGACGACCTGGAGGACCTCGGCGAGCTGGCGGACAAGGAAAACGTGGCCAAGCGCTACATGGACGCCGTGCGCAGGAAAAAGGGCTTGCTGGTGGAGGGCCGCAACGTGGCCACGGATGCAGAGAAGCAAAAGACGCTAAAGAGATAGATAGGACTTGCTGGGTAGCATAGACGAGGCCAGGCAGAGGCGACACGATGATGCCTTAGAGTCACCCGTGACCGCTTCTCCTTGGGAGACAAAAAAATACAAGGAATACAAGAATTGATACACTAGGCGCTTGCTTCTTATTTCGCTCCTTTTTCTTTGAACAGATAACAAGTTATAGTTGCTTGGCGATGCGGCAGTTACCGAGTTACACTGGTGCAAAAGAGGGCGGCCCGGGGGAGAGCGCGCGCCAAATGTCGATGGTGACACCCGAAAAGGCATATATTAGCCTGATTTCTTTGCTCCCGTACATCAGCAGGCCAACCGCCGTGGTGCAAGGCGCCAACTCGGGGGGAAAATGTATCGAAAGCAAAGGCAGTCTTGGTGCAAGCACCACCCAGTGCCTTGCCAGTATCCTTCAATCTGTACAAATAGTCCATAGCCCCCCCTGTGGCCCTTGATATTCAATTCCCTGCACCAAGAGCTCCTCAAAAGTCGCTGGCCCGATTTCTTCACCACCGAAACCATGGATGATGTCATGCTCTGCGCGGCGCGGCTCGGGTTCCTCGAAGGCGTACACCGGTTGGCCTTGCCCGACACGCACGCCTTTACGCGGCAGAGCGTCGAGCGGCGCGTTTCCGCCATCGAGCGCCACGACGGCCGCATCACCTTACCGCCGCCGAACGAGCCGTCTACTTGGAACGGCCTCGCGTGGCGGTTGTGGCGCGCGGACATCAGAGCCGACTTAGTGACGAACCCCTCCTTCGACGCTTACCTGGACGGGTTGGCAGGCATGCTGAAGGAAGACTGCACCACTGAAGTTCTGCGACACGTGGTGGACAGTCTCGGTCACGACTTGCCGGAGATCAAGTGCCCGCGTGTGCAGGCTGCGGCGGCGGCGGCGGCGACGGAGGCGGCGGCGGCGACGGAGGCGGCGGCGGCGACGGCGGGAGAGGGGTGCGAGGATTGCCTGGTGGCCGTGGTGCAGAAGCTCGCGTACGTGGGTGGCCGGCTCAGGCAGCGGCCTCCCTTGAAGCCATTTTCCAAAAGAACCATTCAGGCATTTGCGGCGGTGGTTGGTGAGAACTTTGGATTGTTCGGCGCGGCTCCGAGACATCAGCCGGACGCCCCAATCCGGCCGGCGTCGCCGAATGCCGAGAGAGCTGGGCCTGGGTACGGGCCCACGGGATGGACCAGCTCGGGAGAGGGGATCTCGAGCCTGTACAACCCCCCATCAACCGCGTCCAATGAAAGAAGACGTCGAAGAACTTCGTTTCATCAGGGCGACTCTCGACCACGAGCGGCATTCGATCAAGACATGGATCATGGAAGGGCTTTCAATCAAAACGATCCCCGAGGGACCGCACTCAATCAGAACGGGAATCGTCAAGACGCTTTGAATCAGCACAATCCTCGAGCTGGAGCATTCAACTTCAACTTCCCTCCCACCACCACCGTCGATCACGATTCCCGCCCAGGGCTGGCAGTCGACACCGACATCCCTCGAGACACGGGCTTAGGCAGCAATGTCCATGGGAGGGTGGCGTTTGATCCCGACAGCCCTCACCGTCCGGGCTTTGCGCCTCCGGCGAGCAGAGCCCCGACACCGTCGCGCCCAGCGTCTGCCGGACCAGACAATGGCGGCCCGTCTGTGCCTGCAGCGGCGGCTCAGCCGCCTCGGAGCCGTACCTGGAGAAGAGGAATGGATTTTTTGCGCTCGAAAAAGCGCGGGCGGAGGCAAAGGAATGAATGAGAGCTCGGATGGTTGACATGGGCGGGCAATGCTAATGTGAGGAGGGCTGATTGGCTTGTTTCGGCGTGTTGCGTGAGAATCAAGGCTGGGACATGGGATATGGGGTAACAGTACAGTGAACGATTGATATTTCCTCGGTAATGACTTTGTTATTCGTACATAATTCTGTAAGATGAATTGCCAATGTCTCTTACGGGTAGCATGTGTTTCACTGCACAGATGCGGGTGTTGTGTGGCACGGCCGCGAGGTGATGCTGCCTTGCTGGCGCAGCAATTTGAAAAGTGGCCAAGTTTCGCGTGCGTAGCACTGTGATTTGCGCAAAGATACGATGCTTCAAGTATGTTCTTTTGATTGAATTTATCCCCGGCGTACCGGCCCTTCCTATACATGTCGTCCTCTCGAGTCTCGGCAGGCGGATGCCGACTGCAAAGGTCTTAGTTCTAAATAAGATGTTCTACGACGTATAGAAAGGCCGCCTTGTTCTTAACAACTGCGCTTGATGTTACGCTTCACAAACTGGAAAAGCGAGTTGCGGTTCTTGAGAGAGCCGTTGGTGTCATGTCACCTCCGCCTTGCGATGCCTCGTCCTCGAGCGGGCTTATTTGATGCGTGGCAAAGCAGATCAAGAAGCCATATGGGGGCACACGCTAGCGTCCGATGCTCACTTGGCATATGTCAAAAACGTACTGAAAGACGGTTTGATCATAGTAGATTTGTGGCGCGTTGTTGAAAGCCTCGACGAGGCTACCACTACTGGCGTGCGAACGTAAACAGAGTACGACAGCAGCGTCGACGACTCGGGAGAGGAGCTGCGCATGATCACCAAGATACGGGAGCTGTGCTATGTTAGCGCCCTGTATGGGAAGCCGTTACCGTGTCATCCATGGACAAGAGCATTGGTCTATGCGTGCGCGGCAGACTTGTCATTTTGCATTGGGGCAGGGTCGCGCGAGGTGACGGCGCGGGGTTGCGCAGGTTCTTGTGTGTGTAAGAGTCTGGTTCGAGTGGCGGAAGGGGCTATTGTTCTGGCGCGCAAGGGGAACCAAGTAGAACAGTGACGGCGCGTCTGCGGCAAGCTCGGTCGAAAATCTTGGCCAAAGAAGATGCAGGCCGGGTAAGTCCGGGCACGTGTGCAAGAGTCACGGGCAAAGGTGGAAGGAAGATGGAGTATGTAATCCGTAGCGGATGAGCTTTTGGCGGCGCAGCAATGGGATATAGGAGAAACAATGGTGTGTGAGCTAAAAATAAATCAAACAAAATAGACAGGGTACAATGGCTTGTTGTTAAGTCGAACCAACCATTATTTCCCGATAGTTTTTGCTTTTTTATTTTTATTTTTTATTGTTAGGTCAGGTACTCACCCGCCAAGTTGGTTGGTTGGGCAGGATTAGCGGCGGTTTGTGTGGTCTTATCCAGTTCTTAGGCGGCATCCTCGGCGGCGCCCGCCATCGTTTCCAGGCTGTGCACGCAGCGCCAAAGCGCCGCCGACACCGACACCGACGCCGACGCCGACACCCAATGTCACGTTTCGCGGATCCTGTGATTCCCGTATGACGGCATCACAGAGACAAAAAGTCATTCGCGAGTGCAAGAAAGAGAGTCGTTTGATGCGTGTCGCTTGATGCGTGCAAAGCGTGGTGGCGAAAAAGTGGAGCCAGGGCAGGCACAAGGTTAAGAACGTAAGTAGGTGGAGTGGAGCCTCGGACAACAAACAGGCGCCGACCGGCAGACAAAGTAGGCAAGTGGCAAGCAGCAAGCAGGCAGGCAGGCAAGCATATAAGCAGATACAAGCATGGAAGCATGCAAGCAGGCAACAACAGCGGGCAGGGTACGGAGAAAGCTGCAGGCAGTCTTTTGGCTCTAAATAAAGCAAACGACGGACCAACCAACCAACCAAAAGGAGCAAAGGAAGCCAAAAATAAATAAATAAGAAATACACACAAAAAAAAGAAAGGTAGGTAATAAAAAGAGAGAGAATGAGAGGGCGAAAGGGGAAAAAAAAAAAAAAACTAGAGAGACCCCACGTCACTTGTTCTCAAGTATTCTTCTGCTGCCTTGAGCCCGCCCATACATCCACTCTCCTCTCCCATGCTACTGGTACCTGCACTTGACAAACGGTGCGGCTAGTACAAGTGTAAAAACTTGGATATTCTCAGCTTTTATTCCATCTTTCCCACGCCATCTTTCTCGCTACAGTCCTTGATCTTGTTGTCATATTTTCCCTTCATTCCTTATTACTCGCTCCTCCTTTCTTTTATACACATTATTTACATTTGTCATTCTCTCTGCTGTTGGGTCCGAGAACCGGCCCCCCGGTCCTGTGACCATCTTCGACCGCACCGACCAAGACCATCAGTCATCCTTCGACGCATTATCGCCGACAGACCCCTCGCCGCCGCCCTCCCACCGCATAAACATAGCGCCACCAAAGTGAAGCGCATCTGAGCGCGCATTTCTCCTTTGCAGACGCTCGTCGCCCCGGCGCATCAGTGCCGACCAACCTTCCCCCTCGTCGTCCCCCCCCCCTCCGCCGCGTCACGATGCCTCTCCTCGGTGGCAAGGGCAACAAATTCAAGGTCGATCCGCCCAAGATTCGCATCGAAAAGGTCACAGTCGAGCGACCCGCGCCCAAACCAAAGCCCAAGCCCCAAGCCGCCCTCTCCAAGGCCTCGTCGTCATCGTCGCGCTCCCCGTCCCTCCACCGTGCCTCGCCCAAACCCGCCACGCCACGTCAGAAGAGCCACTCGCCGTACCCGTCGTCGTCGGACGAGCGCCGCCTCGAGCGCAAACGCAAGGCCGGCGCCACCCCGGTCCGCAAATCCCCCGTCGCCGAGCGCGTCACCTTTGACAAGGACAGCGACAACGAGGACGATGGTTGGATGAGCCTCGACACCCGCAAGCGCTCGCGCAAGGGCCAAGACGACGACATGGCCGACCCCAACCGCCAGCTGCGTGACATTGACGCCTACGAGGAGCCTGAGGCCGGCCTCAAGTTTGTTCACGCCGTCGATGTCGCCTCGCTGGAGACCAAGTGCGTACCGGTCATGGGCGCTCAAAAAGAGGATGTTGCAATAGAAATACAATATCCCAGCCCCCAACCACGAGAACGGTAGGTTGCAAGCCCATGCAGCCACTTTTTTACTTGTCTCATCGTTTCTCACCAACTCTCTACTAACAATTGTCTAGGTTTGAACTAGTCTGGGGCAAAGACAAGATTGACGCGGTACAGGCTAGCATCCGTATCGTACAACTTGTTGCCGAGACATATCTCACCGAGCAAGAGGCCGAGCCCTTTACCAACCAAAACGGGGGACTTATTCGACGACTCGAAAAAGCCTCCAACAGAAATATTCAAGACCTAACAGGCTTCAAAGCCGCCATCCACGAGTACAACCAAACCCTCCAAAATCTCGTCGAGGACGGCATCGTCGCCAAGAACCTCGACAATCTGCACGAAATACCACCCCACCTTGTCGCCTTTATCCTCGACCAAATATACGACCGAACCGTCGCCCCTCACGTGGAACTCCTCTCCAAGTACGAAAATGGCACCGACTATGTATACGGCGAGCTGTTGCATCCTTTTGTCACCAAGCTGTTGGTCGAGCAGCTCAAGATGACATCAGACCAAGTCTTTGTTGACCTGGGCTCTGGCGTCGGCAACGTGGTGCTGCAGGCAGCGCTGGAGATTGGGTGCGAGAGCATAGGCTGCGAAATGATGGAAAACGCCTGCAAGCTGGCCGACGACCAAAACCGCGAGTTTGGGTCACGCTGCAAGTTGTGGGGCATCCTGCCCGGAAGGACTCGCCTGGAAAAGGGTGACTTTCGCAAGAACCAGGTGATCCACGATGCTCTGAAGCGGGCCGACGTGGTGCTGGTCAACAACAAGGCTTTTACGTCGCAGCTCAACGACGACCTGGTGCGCATGTTTTTGGACCTCAAAAGCGGGTGCAAAATCATTTCGCTGCGATCCTTTGTCACGGACGGCCACAGCCATAATATCAACGACGTCGGTAGCACGATATTGGATGTGGAGGAGTGTGCGTATCCGGAGGGTTTCGTCAGCTGGACGAATGCTGGGGGGCCGTATTACATTTCCACGCGAAAATAGACTTGTTTGATTTCGTTGTTTGGCATTTTCTGGTTATCTGTGTCTGGTCGGCAGGATGGAAAGGCGTGCCAGGGTGTTTTTGTTTTTTTCTTTCACATCTCGAACAAGGAAGCGTTTTTTTGTGGTAGCGGGACTGCATACAATCAACAATCCATACTCCTCTTACCATACTCTTCTCGTCAACCCAAAAGAAAAGAAGAAGAAAAAGTGTGTGCGCCGTGATGTCTATTCGTTGTCATTGTAAAAGAATGCTCAATGCTCAAGTCGTCGACCTGGGGGACAAGGTAGATGAGCTCATGTCGTTGAAGTCGGGGGCGAGGTAGATGAGCATCATCTCGAGGCAGGTTCGTTGGCCAGATTCATGGCGTCTGCTTCTTGCGCCATGCGCTTCATCCAGCGATCGACGAGCTCTTTATTCTCCTTCTTTACCTTGTCTCTTTCCTTTTCCGCCACGGACATTTGAAGATTGAGCGTAATCATTTCATCTTGAACCTCCTATCACACACGGATATTAACACACAAGAAAAAAAAAAGAAAGAAAGAAAGAAAAGAAAAGTCCCCTGCTGCCCAACTCAAAGCATAAAAGGTAGAGAGACTTCCTCACCTCGACAAGCTTGCGCTTTTCGCGCAGTTCATACTCTCGGTCCTTGAGTCGCGTCGTAAGCGCCGTCCGCTCCGACGTGAGATCTCGCACCGACCGCGCGTCCTCTTTCGTCTTGACGCGCAACTTTGCGAGCTCCTCCTCGGCGGCGCGCAAGCGTGTCTCGGTCGCGCCCTTGGCGCGCAGCGCCTCGGCTAGATCGTGCCGCAGCTGCGTCGTCGTGGCGTCGTCTTGGCCGGGTCGAGGAGCAGCGGCGTCGGGGGTAAGCTTGCCGGTTATCGAGGAGGAGGAGGAGGAGGGCAATATTCGCGCTTGTAGTGAGGCGCGCTCAGCTTCCAAAGCAGATATTCGATCTGCCATCAGCGAACCTGGGTCGTCCCCCGCAAAGGTCAGGTGTGGTTCAAGCTCGAAGTGTGTTTTGTTTTTCTTGATACGTCATACATGTTTGCACCAGCTCCATATTCACCGGGTTGTTTATCTCGGATTCCTTGAGGGATACGAGGTATTCTTCTCTCCAGTTTGACATTTCCGATATCGTAGCGACGTCAGCATGCACAATGACAAGGAAAGTCAGTGGGTTGACGTTTGAGAGCTCGAGCTCCATTTCCGGGGGGGGATTACCGATTGGTGGATGCGCGGGCCACCTGCCAACGGGCACCCCAGTTTGTCCGCTGCCCAGCAATAATTGCTTTAACGCTACCAGCAACTGGCCGGCCGGCCACAATAAATAGCTGTCGCGCCAAAAAGCAGAGGCCTACAAGTCAACTATAGGTCAATATCCGTTGTCTGCCTGATAATCAAGAGCCTGAGAATCCTACTGGGAATTTCGTGGATCAGCCTCTAGATGCCTTTTATCAAACAAGCAACACACTCGCAGAGGCAAAATGTCAAAGTGAGAAATAAGTGATAGCTGATGAACGTATATTTTGACCATTATATTCAGGGTAAATGAAGCAAAATTCAGTATCTGAGATTTCGATACTTAATGTAGTATTCTAAAAGTATCCTTTGAAAAACGGCCTGAGAGACTTGGCCACAATGGTACCCGCGCTGGCCAGCATGCAGATGCCCGTAAACACCACCACCCATCGGTACGTCAGAGCGCCGCCGCCAAACTGGCCAGCTCCTCGAGCGACCAGGTTCCCGCCAATGGGGCCCGCAAAGATGTTGCCCAGGCCCTTGCCAAAGTTGAGCAGGCCGTAGACCATGGGCGCCGCGGCGCCGTCGCCCCCCTTGCAGACGTTTGTGCACATGCGCGCCCACATGGCCGTGTAGCCGCTGGCGAAGAAGCCGTAGGCGACGGCAAAGCACACGAGCACGGGCAGCGAGCGCGCCGTCTGCCACATGGCGAGGCAGGCGACGGCGGCGACGGTGACGGCCGTCGACGCGAGCACGTTTGTCGAGATTTTGCGGTCCGAGAGGTAGCCAAAGGCAAACTGGCCGCAGACCTGGGCGACGCTCATGACGGCGAGCAGCACGGCGCCGGTGCGCTCGCCGAGACCGAGCGCGCTCGCGTACGACGGCAGGTACAGCGCGGGGAGAAAGTAACCAAAGCCCTGGAGCACGTTGGACAGGGTGTAGATCCAAAAGAGCTCGGTGCGGAGGAACCGCCAGTCGATGCGCGGCGCTGGCGCCGGCGTCGGCGTCGACCCGTGACGGTGCGCGGTGGCGGGCAGGCGGCGCTGCAGAAAGGGCATGACCGGTCCCGTGAGGACGACGAGGGCACAGGCAACGGCACGAAGTGTCGTGGCGTAGCCGTAGCGCGAGAGGAGCGCCTGCACGACAAAGGGCATGGCGGTGCCGGAGATGCCGGACGCGCCGCACAAGATGCCAAAGGCCATGCCGCGCCGCGCGACCCAGTACTCGCTGACCATGTGCAGGATTGGGTAATAGAAGATGAGGAAGCCGAGGCCGTAGGCTACGCCCTGCGTGAGGATGAGCATCTCGAGCGTGGTGGCAAAGGAGCCCGCCACGAGGCTGAGGATGCAGATTGGCCCTATATTAAAAAAAACCATCATGATGAAAGTGTTAGCTGTGCTCCACGTCGCAACTTGTTGCTGGTGGTAAAAAGGAGAAGAGACTTGCAGCCGATCCAAATCATGGGCCGCAGCCACTGCTGGTGCCGCTGGACGAGCAGCATCACGACGGGGGCGCCGAGATAGCCCAGGCCCGAGGCAATGGTGCCGACGACGCCAATGTACCGGTTGCCGGCAAACTGGGGAAGCGTCGAGTAGTACTGCTGAAAGACACCATACGACATGGGAAAGCCTGCGAGCGCGGTTTCTGATTAGCCCACGTATATAGAACATGTATATAACCTCTGCTTGCCCTTAGGCGTTCAGCAAAAGCAGCAGCTTACCCCAAAGGCAACCCTCAAACATAAAGGCCGCCCACAAGAGCCGCCAGGCGGCGAATCCGCCATCGACGGGTGCCAGGCGCTGCTCGACGCGGCTGCCCGTGTCGTCGAGCAGCATGTCGTCGCCGGATTCGGGATCGGCTCTAGCCGCGGCGACCGCCGTTGCCTCGGCATGTCTTTGTCGCTCCGCCAATTCCACGCAGCCCATGTTGAACCTTTTTTTTTTTTTTTTCCAAAATTCTGATAAAGAATAAGAATATGGAATGGATCAAAGACAACTGAGCAGCTGAATTGCTTCTAAAAAAAAAGAGAGAGAAAATCCATTTAGTGCTGACGATTGAGCTTGTTTATAGTTTTGTAACTCTCCGGCGGTCGGTACGGCCGCACGTGGACCGCCAGCCGATCTTCGGGACATCTGGGCACCTAACGAACAAGAGATCCATATATACATCAACTCACCTTCTCGTTGAGAGTGGTACAAGGTATATGGATTTACGAAAAAGTGCTCTGGTGGAAGGGTCTCGGCCCAATGGCGGAAATGCATGGCCCTATTTTTGCAATATCACATCGTGTACACGTGCGCCGATATGGACCTTTGTTGGCTTTTGCAGCAGACCACTGGTACTTTATAAAGCGGTCTACAGGGCTACTTTAAATTTTCTTCTAGAACCCTTGTCAACTTGAGACTCGAGCAAGAGCGTAACCGCCATCTTGTTACCTTTATGGTTTCCCTGTGACATTGTGCCCGTATCAAGTGTGCGACTGGCTAAATACCTAGGTAGAGTGATACGCGATCAGCTGGCCGGGCTCTCCCATCACTTTTGCTCGGCTATCGGGTATAGGACGCCGACCAGGTGATTCTGTGGAGCGCTCAATGTAAATCTGATCAGCAGAGTAGTTGCATGTTACGTATGAGAACGGCATGGAATGAAGAAAAAGTGCGCATTCGCGTAGCATAACAGAACTGCAACGAGAGCGCCGCCTAGATGATGTGCGAGAAGATTCCGGCGACAGCGAGAGTACCCATCTTGCGGAGCCTTTTTGACCACGAGTGCAAGGCCAACGAGGGCAGATTCAAGATTTACCAGAATGCACGAATTGCCACGGTGTTTGTCTTCTTGTTTCTTCTACACGTGCGCACGCGGCGATGCCATATGGCTGGCTCGGAGTGATACTCCGCTCGGCCGATGCCCCCATCACACCGATACTAAAGCATGATACAGTCGGCTCGCTCCAGTATTACATCTCCAGGTACGGATTAATTATCTCGCTGTCTCTTATGTAAGAAAAATCCCCCTTGTAAACTACTCAGTATTGTAAATAAAAAAAATAAAAAATAAAAATAAAAACAGAAACCCCTGGTTCCTTATGGCCGATACAAAGTTTAGCGTCGTTGAAGCATGTCCAATTTAGGATCTCTCGGCACCGATGCCGGGCAGACAGCCACATGGTTTTACCAGAACCAGCCTCTCTTCGCGGAAGAACTTGCGCAACCCGTCAAAAGAAAAGGGTTTTTTTTTTCTCTCTCTTTACAATACGGATTATGCAACTCCTCACTACATGAAAGCTGAATCAAGGCCGCGTGTACAAGCATGAACCATGGCAATTGTCATGCCAGCTGTCATGAGATGGGCATCTCAGCCGTCCCCAATTGGATGCAGTCTCAGCGCCACCCATTCTCTCAAGTTACAACAGCATCAGGCAAGAATTTCGAGAGAAAACGAATATTAATTCTGACGTTCTTGATTCATCAATTATTCCTGAGTGCTGTTCTTCATTTGGACTTTGGGGTGCTGATCGACATTTTCATGTCGGTACGGATAGACGTCGATGGTTTTTATTTTCTTCCTCCTGGCGAGGGGCTTGAAGAACTGGTTATTAGTGGCTAGTTATTTTAGGATGTTATTTAGCGACTGGGGATTCTTGAACCCCTACGGTGGTAGTTTTCTCTTGTCTTTTGCTTTCTTTTTTCTCCCGTCCGCAGGCATGGCGTTTTGCACACATGCAACAAGGAAGTCGAGACCATCAGTCGGCCCTTGGAAATTAACGTGCTGCATGCAGGCCCTCCCCTGTTCCATGCCGTTGACACATGGTCGGACGATTCTGCCAAAAAGCTCTTTTTTCACGTTTCCGCAACGTCTCGCCGTGCAGCTTGCAGATTTTCTTTGCGGGAGGCGGGGGGCTGGGCGCACAATGACTGAGGGATGTTGAAATGTCTGAGAAGACACGGCTGCGAACCCGACACCACCTTTTTTTTTTTTTTTTTTTTTTTTTTTTGTTTGTTTGTTTGCGAATCCGCTACGGAAGGGGAAAATGCTCGTGGGAGGGCTGTTATTCAGCAAGCAGCGCCTCTCCGGAACCTTTCTCCGCCCAACCGCCACCGTCTCGTATTATCATCACATTTTTGCACGATCCAGAGACATGTCACCACCCTCGCATTATCCTCATTGGGCAGCACGGGTACGCCAATGTATGGAGAAAAATAACGGTAACTATTAAGGTTCATCGTTGCAGCGGGTTGAGCGTTTCCACCATCGCTTTCATAGTAATAAGGGCACCCGCCGCCCCCCTTCCCAATCCATGTTTTTCATGTGCTTTGTTCATGCATAATTAGCGACTATTGACAACCTCACTCGACGTTACACATCCTCGAAACGAACCAGAAAAAAAAAAGAAGCAACTGGCTGCATCCTGCGACGGGCTGCCAAGTCGAGCAACTGGGTGCTTAGCGTCGTCCCAAGAAATCGGGGGTGGCGCTGGACCACGGAGTCGCGAGCTGTCTGTGCGAACCGCGGCAGGCAGGCAAAACTATTTATTGCTTTATTGCCCCTTGTGCGACGCATAATACTCTGAAATAATTGGCACTGCGGTTTCCGCAGTCGGCCTCCCTTTGGCCTGTCGTGTCCTTGGCTGCTCAAATACCTCGCAGCTCTCTCTATCTCGTCTCGCGCTCTCGCTGCCCCCCCTTTACACGGCAACTTTTCGGGTCGTCGGTCGATTCAGTATTTCGTGATACCCAGAGCTGCGTCGACTTTGTGGGTGTGCTACAGATTGCGGCGACCCCCAACCAGGGGTCTTAAGTCGTCGATCACTTCCCAGCCTGCCCTGCTGCGAGTGGTGATCCAGTGGCTCCAACCATAAGTGCTATCAAGTCGAGATTCACCTCAGGCGTCACGATATCAGTCGTGTTTCACTCTCCGTATAATTGACAGTCAACAATTTTCCACAACGCCAGCCAAATCATGGCCTCCCCAATCATGGCCCCTCCAAACGGCCCCCAAAGCATGGCGACGCGGCAGACGCTGCACCAATCCTCGCATTCTACCTTGAGCAGCGTCTCCTCTCGCTCACCTTCACAGCGGCAGCAGCAGCAGCAACGTCCGCCGCCGCCGCCGCACAGCAGCAGCAGCGACCGGCGCCACTCGGCCGGCGACGGCGACGGCGACAGCGACAAGAAGACGTGGCTCCGCTCGTTCAAGACGTGGCTGACCGTTAGCGAGCCATCGGCGCAGGCCATGAAGACGCAGAAGCGCGACGCGTTTCGCCGAGCCGGCATCGACCCCAAAGACCCGGCCGCCGCGGCCAAGATGCACCTGCCGCTGGGCACGCTGCCGCTGGGCGCGACCACGTCCACGTCGGGACCCACGCCCGAGGAGCGCCTCGCCAGGGAGCGGCGGAGCCGGCCGCAGTGCCGCACGCACGGGTCGGCGCAGTCGGTGTCGAGCGGGAGCTCGACAAGCGCGCCGCCAAGCATTCGTGACGTGAACCACGTCGCTCCGTGGGAGAATTGAGTGGCGGGGGGGGGGGAATATGCATGTGGCATGAGGACAAAAGTGGACAATGGGAAAGTGATGGCCCCCCGGCTCAAAGTCGGAGGAAATGTAGTATCATGATCGATCGACAGTATGTTTTAGCTTTAGATACCCGCCTTGTAATAATGGGCTTTTTTAATGTACTGATTTTGATGGATGCGTTGTCATTTGAATGTCATGCTGGCATTTTGTCTGTGCACTCGATGATGCTGCATGACGTCGGGAACGTGCATTTGTTCTGGATGGAAGATGCGCAGTGCATGTGTTACGTCGCTAGAGCAATTGGTCAATCTTTGGAGCGGTTCGAGTCACGAACGTTCGGTTCAGTTGAAAAGAACTTCTTTGATCATAAATAAATAGAGTAGGTAGTGGAATCTGGACGATTGCAATACAAGGCAAAGGGCCGCTAGACTCGAGTTGGCACGCGCTAGCAGCTCGCTACTAACTCAATCGCCCCGCGGCAAAACGATTGGATGGACTCGGCCCCCAAGTAATGACGAGGTTGGTGATTCCGAAACTAAGTAGTAATATGGCACAATGACCAGATTTGTGGTGGTGCATGTCGCGGCTTCGGCAACCTTGAAAAACAAGGCATTGGCAGAATTGCAAGTCAGTCGATACTATTCATGCATTCTAGACATGCCATCTTGTTGCCATTTCGCCATCTTGTGTTAGACACCATCGTCTGCCGGCATCGAGCGATCCCCCCCCACTACGGTTGAATGACGTCTACATTTTGCGCAGAGCCTTGTTTCCGCACACCGTGCTGGTACCGACCAAGGGTAGCGTAACCGGCCATTTCATGCGCTGCAACAGAAACCTTACTGTCCCTCCTGTTCTCGTCCTTTTTTTCCCTCCCTCGAGTCAGGGCTTTGTCAGATTGGCTGCCTCTTTTAGTTGCCTCTACATATTCACAAGGCTGTCCTCGCCCACTGGCTTTGTCGCGTTGCATTGACATTGGCGGTGCCCCGACACGCCCATTTACTTGCAAGCCTTTCCACCTCTAGTTGACATCACTCAACTCCCTCCTACGAACTTGCGCGCTTCAGTCACCATGCCGCAGTCCATCAAAAGCTCGGACCGGTCCCGCATCGGCGGCGGCTCGTCGGTCGACGACGACGACGTCCACACGCTGCCGCCCGACGAGCACACGAGGCTGCTACCGAACCGCGTCGACTCGAGCCGCGGCATGCTCACGCCCGACGACCCCGCCGTGACGCCCTACAACCTCTGGAGCATCCGCCTGCTGCGCTGGGTCACCGTCGTCGTGACGCTCGCCACCTTTTTCTGGTGGGTGCTCGTGCTCGTCTCCACGTTTGCGACACTGCCCGGCTTCCACGTCCGCGGTGGCGGCTTCTACGCCTATGGCTTCACCAGCCTGGCCCTCGCCAACATGCTCTTTACGCTTCTCTTCTTTGAGATTCCGTCGCGACCGGTCAGGATACTATCTCTCGTCATGGCGGTAAGTCCACACACACACACGCACACACACACATACCAAGATGCAATACGTTGCGCAAAAGCTGACCATCCGTCGCTAGTTTGTGCTCATGGTCGACATGATTATCCTGCTGGCCGTGCAAAAGACGCGGTATGAAGAGGGCTGGGTCGGCGTCGTCAGCGTCTCCTGGGCGCTGCTGCTGAGTCTCTGGACCATCCTAGTCGACCGCACCGTGAAATGGGGCAAGGCCGAGGAAGAGGAGCGGCTGACGGGCCGCGCCGAGACGCGCCGCACACTCAGTGAATGGCTCGCGGTGCTCCTGTCCAGCGTCGGCTACACCGCCATGGTCGTTGCCTCCGTGCTGATGGCGCTCACCATTGTTCTTCGCGCACTCGACGCCAAGTTTGCGCCGCCCGGCAAGCTGTACTGGGTCGACAGCGGCAAGTACCGTATCCACGTGTACTGCCAGGGCAACGTGACGGCGTTTGACGGCTCTCCGCACACGACGGTGCTCTTCGAGGGCGGCGAGCGGCCCGTCGAAGACGGCCTGTGGCAGTTTGCCAACGAGGCTCTCGACAGTGGCTCCATCGGCCGGTACTGCTTCGCGGATCGTCCCGGCATCGCGTGGTCCGACACAGCACCGTCCCCCCTGTCCGCGAGCTTCGCCGTCGACGCGCTGAGTGAGGCCCTCGCGGCGGCCGGTGAGCGCGGTCCGTGGGTGCTAGCGAGCGCGGGCATCGGCTCGCTCTACTCGCGCGTCTTCTCCGCGCGCCACGGCCGCGACGTGCGCGGCATCCTGCTCATCGACCCCCTCCACGAAGACCTGCTCGGCCGACTGGCCTCACCGAGCCGCGGCTTCCTGCTATGGCTGCGCGGCATAGTCTCGCCGCTGGGCCTGGACCAGCTTCCCGGCGCCTTGTTCCGCGGCCGGACGAGCCAGGACCGCGTCTACGGGCGGTCGGTGCAGCAGACGAGCAAGAACATCTTTGCGCGCCTGCAGGAGAGCTTGGTGCTAGACTCGTTTACGCGCCGCGACGTCGGCAGCAGCCGTCAAATCCAGGACCGCAGCGTCCAGCTGGCCGTCGTCAGCTCGGGCAAGCACATCAAGGAGGACCACGCGTGGGAGGCCAAGCAGCGCGACCTGACGAAGCTGACGGACGAGCTGCTCCAATGGGACATTGTGGACGAGGCACCGTCGCACGTATGGCAGTCGACAGCTGGGCGTGACAGATTGGAGAAGCGGCTGAGGCAGCTTTTGAAGAATAAGGCGTAAGCATGGTGACCAGCACGCACAATTTGTTTTGTTTTTATTTCTTTTTTCTCTTTCTTTTTCTTTTTCTTTTTTGGCAAAAAGAATCGCAACCCCACCCCCCTTTGTTTTCTTCATCTTTTCCTTTGCTAGTGTTAGCCTTTCTTTTCTTTCTTTCCTTTTTTTTTTTTTTTGGTAGTGTGTGCGGGTATTTGCCTTTTGACTTGATGGCCTAGGTAGAGTCGAGGACATCAGGCAGTATCACTATGCCGCGATTGATAGGCAGCAGAGTAATATTAAATCCTTAATGACGCCCGCGTTGCCGATTCGACAATGTACATGTACGTACACGAGTGGATCAATACGAGAAACTGAAACAAAACTCCAGCGCCATCTCTACATGGAAGAGGCAAGGCGTCGATCGCTAGAGTGAATTTCGGGGCATCGTGGACGAGTGAGGGGGAGGAAGCGAGTGACTCGACGCTATTAGATGGCGTCGAATTGGCGTAGCCTAAATTTAGTAACAGACAAATAACCAATAAGCGGACTCGACTCACAGGAGAAACAGCCCGCAGAAGTATACTGCGTATGCACGACAGAAAACCTTCGATGCTTCCACAACAATGAGGGGCGGAGACAATCGGAATTTATTCAGCCTCGTCCTGCTTGCGTTTGTTACAGTCTCGGCCCAGCAACCGGGCGGTGGCTCAGGACGAGAGAACTGGTGCTGTCCACACGTGACGTCAATGGTGCAGGAGAGGCTTTGGGGCTTGATTTAGGGGTCCTACGAGTAAGATTGCAAGGTGGCGCCTAAGGCCACGAAGCGCCAAGTTGTGAGTGGTAATAGGTCACAGATACAATACCACGAGTCAACAAATAGAAAGGTTTGCAAGCGAGGAAAGACGTGAAATGACGAGTTGACACTGCAATTTGGGCAGCATGGCGTCAATATATACCACGTGTACATGCAGAGAAGGGGCTAGTACAAGGTCGTGGACCTGTAGTGCTGCGCTGTCCCTCACGTCCTTTGCTAACACCAGTCTGGGTCTAGAAATAGCTCTAGGTACTGTGTGGTACCTACGTAGTAATCACCGGCTCAGATCCGTGCTGATGGATACGAGATGCTATGCGGGATACAGGGAGATTTTTCTACTCGAAATCTTGAAACACGGAAGCAACGACGCCAATCTCTTTTTCGCTTGCCTTTATTCAAATTCCTGCAAAATCACCAAGTAAAATAGGTACTTCGCAGTGTCGCGTCAAAATCGGAGTACCCATGCCCTGGAAAGTTGGAAATTAAGGCCTGCAGCAAAGCCCCCCAGCACCCAACCAGGAAACCGCCTAACTAACTACCTCAAATCCTCAAACAGGGCTTCCGGGACACATGGCAGGCTGTTGGCTGGGTAGCTCCAGTGGGTTCCGCCGGCTCCACGCCCCCCAACCTGAGGCGGGCCGCCGTCAAGGAATTATTCTTTTGACATGCAAGTATCTCCTCGGCTGCCATCTGGTGAAAATGTACACGAGTTGGCAGAGCTTGACAAACAGAGTACCCATTTCTGCCCAAGGGCGGGCGTCATTTGCAGACTTGGGGGGGTGTTGGGGCTTGCGACAGCGGTACCTATTATTACTGGTAGACTGACCAAGGCACCAGCCACAGCAGTGTAACAATTTGGGACTTTGGCTCTTGCTCCCTATTTAATTTCTTTTAGGACTTTTTTTATATCCGCAGAAGCGTGAATTCTTGAAATCTGTCTCGAGATTCTCCGGTCAGAACACTGCTGTCTACCTTAACTGAGTTGGTACCTGTGGCCTAGCGCGTCAGTGGCTGCACCACCACCTTTGTCTAGCCACTCACCTCTCACCTTGGTCTCTCACTCTAATTATCGACTAGCTAATAAGGTAGCAACTCACTCTAGCAACTCACTCTAGCCTCCCACTCTAGAACCAGCTTGGCACAACACCCCCCTCCGCTCATACTCTTCTTCCCCCAGCCCAAGTCCTGATTTCCCATCCACCTCGTTCTCTTTTCTAGTTTACATGTTTCAATCTCGCGTCTTCCTGCATCACAGCATCTTCGCCCACTCACACTCTCGCTCCCGTACCATTCGTTAATCACCCTGCCAAAAGCCACCCGCCCTGGCCTCGAGGCGCCGTCTGCTCCCCCCATCGATACCCGCGTTCGTTGTTCTCTCGTCACGCGAACCACCCACGCCCGCGCAGTCCTTCCAACGGCTCTGGTTTTTTTCCCCTTCCTGCGTCTACTTGTTAGATATCTGGCCCAGCCCGCATCTCGATTCGCCAGAGTCCCTGATCTCACTCATGACACAGTCTCGATACTCGCAATTGGCATTTTATACCCCCAACTTCCCATTTCATTCCAACCGGCGCCCGCAGCCGAGCAGATGCAGACCGCTTCGTCATTAACCCCTCTCTGCACCAATCTTGAACCACTTTCGCGTTGAGTCGACGGGAGGAGAAGAACGAGGATCGAGGGAACGTCGAATTCCTTTGACTTAATTTTTCCACCACGACACCCGTTCCCGTCCCTGGGCGTGGCGCCTCGCGGCATTACTTCTCTGAATGCCAGCCAATATGGCATTCGATTCCTCAAATGGGCTGCCACCTGATCTGGCCCATGGCGACAACAACCACCCCACCTCCGATGCTGCCGATAAATCTTGGCAGTCTGCCGGCCGACAGACGCCCGACAACGACCACAAGCTGAGGCTCACAAATTCAAATCCAGGCCCCGCCTCACTGCCTGGCTCCTTACCCGCTGAACCCCCCTGGAACGACGAGCCGCCTCGTAAGAGCAGCGAGAGGAACAGGTCGCGTCAGAGAAATGGACGCTCTGCCAGTGGTCAGATACGAACCTGCAAAAAGTGCGGCGAGCCTTTGACCGGCCAGTTTGTTCGTGCTCTCGACGGCACATTTCACCTCGACTGCTTCAAGTGTAGAGTATGTTGGCCCCCCAGTTTCACCCCATCCGTTGGTGCCAACGCCCGCGATTTACGTCCCTTTGCCCTCAGCCACTGCCACTGCACGCCAGCTAATTTGCCATGTGTAGGACTGCGGCGAGATAGTAGCTTCGAAATTCTTCCCCGCCGATGATGACGACGGTGAGGGTCAGTATCCCCTCTGCGAAACCGACTACTTCAGACGCCTCGGTCTCCTTTGCTATCAGTGCGGCGGTGCCTTGCGCGGTTCATACATAACGGCTCTGGACCGCAAATATCACGTCGACCACTTCACCTGCTCCATGTGCGATACCGTATTCGGCGCCCAAGACAGCTATTACGAACACGACGGCAACGTATACTGCCACTACCATTACTCCACCAGATTCGCCCAAAGATGTAATGGCTGCCAGACTGCCATTCTAAAGCAATTCGTCGAAATTTTCCGTAATGGTCAGAACCAGCACTGGCATCCCGAATGCTACATGATTCACAAGTTTTGGAATGTTCGCCTCGGCCAGCCTTCAGATGATCCTCAACTGCCTCTCGACTTGACCGATCCTGCTGACAGAGAACTCATTCGTGCCGACGAAGAGCGCATGGAAGACAAAGTATACCGTATATGGAGTGTCTTGTCTACGTTTGAGGAATCGTCTGCAGCCTGCATCTCAGATATGCTGCTCCATGTCAGCAACGGTTCCTATGTCGATGGTGTGCTCGTGGCCAAGCGCTTCATATGGCATGTCGAGATTCTCTTCCGTTCGGCCGACAGATTGGATCAGCTCATTACTCAGAAATCTGAAAAGGGCAAGTTGCTCACAACATCTCTACAGGCTAGTTTGCTAACAACACTAGGCATGTCATATGGCCGCGAGGCGAAGCTGCTTTGCAAAAAGATTGTGTCCTTCTTCTCTCTTTTGTCAAAGACGCAAGATGCCGATGCGCGCAAGCTTGGTGTCACCCAGGAACTCCTCTCACTCGTCACCGGTTTGGCACACTATCTAAAGCTTCTGATTCGCATATGTCTGCAGGGCGCCTTGCGGTTCGAGCGCGATACGCAAGACAGCGACGGTCTCCACCAATTCCTCGACGATCTCAATGACTTTGAATCCTTCAAAAATGACGAAACAGCCAACATGATAGATAGCCGACTCGCTGCCAAGGACTCGGACCACTGCGGTGTTTGCAGGCGATCTGTCGAGGATGAATGTGCCACCACTGGCGATTACAGATGGCACTTGCCGTGCATGCGGTGTTCGAGGTGTGGTCGTGACCTTGGCCGTGCACTTTATGAAGCGACCTATAATACAGCGGACCGCAAACTCGCATGCACAAACTGCGCCTCTTCACAGCACCCCGCCATATCTCTGCCACTTGAGCATGTCTCGAAGCTACAGCAATATGCGTTCCTACTCAAGGTTGCACTTGCGCGATTACTGGATATTCTTCGAAACAATGGCACGATTCCACCTGCTCCGGGTGAAAAGCCGGCCAACGGGCTCACTGCCGACCGCCCCAGCTTTGGCGCAGACAATCGCTCAAAGTCATATTCCGCGGCAGGAGACAGGGAGCATCAACGAGAGTCGACGTATGAGAATACGCTGAACGAGGTTCGCCGTCTTAGGAGTACGCGTCTCGATCGTCATCTTTCATCTAGTGTCAGACATGCTCGCACATCAAGAGTCATGGACAGCGATGGACGTGGCCCGCGCGCTGAGTCGCCTGCCCAGGGCGACAGCAAACATGCACCACAAAATTCTACAGACATGATGTTTGGTCAGAATGATGCCATTACTCTCGACGATATTCCCCGCATCGTTGCAGTTGAGCAATCAAAAGAGCAGCAGCAGCGGGAATTAGCCCAGGAAGCCGGGCGAACCGGCTTGGCCGACACCGGTATATCTAACCGTCATCAGAGAACTTTGTCTGCTAGTCAAAATCAGGATGTGCGAGCTCCTGACCCTCTTCAGACGAGACTAGTACGCAAGTTCTTCCCAGAACTCTCTGCCCTCGAATACTGCAATGTTAGGCATTTGGCTGTTCTCACGATGCAGCCCATGCTCGAGTCCGAGTTTAGCCTTGATGAGCTGTCGTCATTTATCGAAACAAGGAAACAGGTTACATTCTGGAAGAACTTGGGCAAGGCTTTCAAGAACGACAAGAACAGGAACATGAAGAAGAAGGGTGTCTTTGGCGTGCCTCTCGAGGTCATCATTGAACGAGACGGTGCCGAATCAACGGACGGCGTCGGACCTGGCACTCTGCGAATTCCTGCCATTATTGACGATATCATATCTTCTATGCGTCAAATGGATCTCTCTGTCGAGGGTGTCTTTCGAAAAAATGGCAACATCAAGAAGCAGCAAGAGATGGTTGATCGAGTCAATAATGAGGGCTGTGATCAAATCAACTTTATGGAGCAGCCCGTCATCCAGCTCGCCGCAATTCTGAAACGATACCTCCGTGATCTCCCTGATCCGCTGATGACACACAAGCTTTATCGTCTCTGGGTCACAGCCGCCAAGCTTTCCGACCCCGCAAAGCGCAAGCAGTGTCTGCATCTCGTGTGCTGCCTGCTGCCCAAGAGTCACCGCGACTGTATGGAAATTTTGTTCACGTTCCTGAAGTGGGCCGGCACCTTTCACCAGCTGGATGAAGATGTCGGCTCCAAAATGGACGTCCGCAACCTGGCCACCGTCATTGCGCCCAACATTCTGACTAATGCCACCAAGGCCCCCGCGCTGGACAGTGAGGCCATCTACGTGATTGACGCGGTCGAGATCATCATTGCCAACATTGAAGAAATGTGTCACGTTCCCGATGAGCTTCTGACGCTACTCAACGACCCGTACCTTTTCAGCAGCAGCAGCGAGATTACGACTAAGGAGATCCAGAAGCGCATTCAAGACCGCCGTGGGCAGATTCCCATAGCTGACGTTGCAGAGGTCTACAACCGCCCAGATGTGACCAGCCGCGCTCCACCGAAGAGGGTAGAGACTGACCCGTCGCTGTGGCAAGGCGAACGCACAGTGCGCCCCGTGCAGGATCCGCCGGGGCAGTACTCTCACTCGAATCAGGGCACGCCGCCCCAAAGATGGCGCAACCCAGACGATCCGTCGCCGTATCATAACAACAACTATAACCGCTCCGAGGGCCACCTGGCGCGAACAGACCACAACCCGCGCGAATGGCGCAACTCTGGCTGGCAGCAGCAACAGCAGCAGCAGCAGCAACAACAGCAGCAGCAGCAGCAACAACAACAGCAGCAGCAGCAGCAGCAGGTGCAGCAGCAACAGCATCCAGGCGGGCTCGGCGTCGGCAATAGTTTTTGATTTCAAGAAGCACAGGATGAGCAAATGAGAATGATCTTTTTTTAAAGCGTCGATATTTGATTTGATTCTTTATACATGGCATATTCGGCGGTCCTTTTTGTCGCTCCCATGGAATTGCCTGGGAGCAGTAGGAGCCGGCGGTGGCATTGCATTTGCCCTGGCGTTTATTGCATAGTGGAGGCGAGCTCGACGGGGATAGACAGAGACACGATTCGCAATGGAAAGGTCAATGACGGAACATATTAGAGACAAGTTCTCAGACTTGACTGGATTCCTTTGCCGCTGTCACCGAGTGGGTTGAGTTCTTGTTGAGCCCTGCCCTTTTTCTGAGGCTGCGTTTGATTGTATATTGGTGGTTCTTTTTGCGACGATGAAGGGCACGTCGGCGCGGAGGAGTCTGTAAGCCAGGTTTTGATGTCTTGACTTTTTACCCTTTACCAACATGGTGTCGCCAGGAAATGGCAGGGACGGCGCGCAAGATGAGGAGTGAAATAGACTCTTGCAATTCTTTTTTGTTGTTTCTTTTCTCTGGGGGTGGCCGGCTTACACAAAAGAAGAGGGATTCGATTTAAGTCTTCATTTTCTACATTTCTTTTAAAGCAGAACTAGTAGCATAGCCATGCAAAAACGATTTTTCCACTTTTTCATGTTCTTCTCTTTTTTGTTTTCCATCATTTGCGGGCTGGTTTTACATATCCCCTGATGTCTACGTTTCGTTTCGCTTTCCAAGTAGTTGAAATGGCTTTAGGGGGGGGTGAGGGATACGTGCATGTGGAGGTCAAATGAGGTTCTCTAGGATACATGACAATTCATAGGATAGTGTCAATTAGTTTCCAAGGCAATTGATGCGGGTTAGATGTTGCTTGCTGTGTAAAACAACGATACGACTTTGCGTCTTGAGCGTAGTTGATTAGCTATCGCGGATAGAAGCCCAACAGCTTGAGAGAATGGTCATATATTACAGTGTTATGAATTAAGTCTGTACGCTATGCTTCCTATAAGCACACTTTCAAGGGAACGTCCCACACGGGAGCACTCACGCCCTTCCTCTTCCTCCTCGTCTCCTCCCATTACTGCGCCTTTGCCGCCGTCTCCTTTTCGTTTTCCAGGAACCACTTGACGCCGCGGTCGACGCCTTGCTGCAGCGTCCACTGCGGCTCGTACCCGAGCACCATTTTCGCCTTTGTAATGTTGTAGTACCTCGTCATTGTCGACAAAGTAGCGCGCTGCTTTGTAAACGTCGGCTTCTTACCGACGATGCTATTAAAAATCTCACTCGCCGTGCCGAGCAGCAGCGACATGTCGCGCGAAATCTGCCACACGCCCTCGGTGCCGGCCTCGTTGCCGGCCGCGCGCCACACGGCGCGCGCAAAGTCCCAAAAATACACGGGCTCGTCGTTTGTCACGAAAAAGACCTCGCCGTCGACGCGCTCGTGGTCGAGGGGCGGGGCGGACATGGACGACGACGCCGTGGCGAGCAGCAGCCGCGCGGCGAGCAGGTGCGCGTGGGCGACGTTGCCGACATAGGTAAAGTCAAAGATGTTGGTGTTGTCGCCGAGCTGCACTTTGCTCTTGCCCGTGCGGTAGGCGCCGAGCAGGCCGGCGAGCGCCTGTACGTCGCCCTCGCCAAAGATGCCCGCGGGGCGAATCGACGTGGTCAGGAAGCGCGGGTGCGGCTCGGCGCGGTTTGCCCTCGTCACGAGCTCCTCGGCCGCGGCTTTCGTCTCCGAGTAGTACTCAATCTGCTGGGGCGCGCGAATCACGGGCCAGCGCTCGTCGGCATTGTGCAGGTCCGTCTGGAAGTCGCTGACGACGCTGGCCGACGACGTGTACACGAGGGCCTTGACCTGCGCCTTTTGGCAGGCTTCAATGACGGAGCGCGTGCCGTCGACATTGACCCGGCGAAACAGCTCCTTGTGCACGGCATTGTCGCTGGCGACGGGCGAGGCCGTGTGGATGACGACGTCGGGCCGGATCTCGGAGAAGAGCGCGGCGAGCTTGGGGCCGTCGGTAATGTCGCACTCGTGGTACTGGGCGTCGGCGCGGCGGTGGCGGTCGCAGCGCAGGTCGACGGAGACGACGTGGCGGCAGCGCCAGTCGTCGAGGGCCTGGTTGATGATGTGGTGCCCCAGGAAGCCGTTGCCGCCGACGACGAGGACCTTGCCGAGGTCACCTTTGGGGGCGGAGCGGGCGGACATGGCGGACTGGTGCGTCAACGGGCGTGACGGGAGGGATACAAGGTAAAGGGGGGGTATCTCGAGAACTTGGGAGATTTTGGTGACGAGGATGGGCTGGCTTAGAGGTGAGTGTAGTTTAAAGGGGTCCCCACAACTTTTAATTGACGGACCTCCGGGCAGGTAGGCAGGCAATTATTGCCCAAACTTGTTCTTCCTCACAACTCTGGCCGGCCGCCTCTTCACTTCTAGCCACGTGCTGACGTGATGAAATTACTACATATACTATCACAGTCTTGCAGAAATTGGATAGCCTTGCACCGGCCAAACAACAACCTCCATTTCGCCATCTTGGCGCTCAGCAAACGACTTGCTTTCAGCTCAAGTGCCAGAGTGGCTGGGCAAAAGCCACCAAAAGAATTTCATGAGAAATACGACTGGATCGAGAACGTTGAAAATCTCGAGAGATATGATAACGGCGGCTTTCATCCCGTCACGATTGGAGATGTTATCAACAAGCGCTATCGAGTCGTCGACAAGCTTGGCTACGGCGGCTACTCAACCGTCTGGATGACGCGTGACATGCAACAAGATACCTATGTCGCCTTGAAATTGGGGTGGCTGACTCGAGGGTGCACGAGACTACTGTACTAAAGAGATTTCTCGATGCTGCGCCTCGAACACCAGCGAATTCTACCGCTTTAGTCGGGCTTGATGCCATTCCGCGCGTACTAGACGCCTTTACCGTGCGCGGTCCAAACGGAGAACATCCAAGTTATACGACTGCTATTGCCGGGACTAACCTAAGGGATGCTTGTGACTTGTCCATGTTCAGGCTCGAGGTGGCGAGGGCCTTGGCAGTAAAGCTCGTCTCAGCCATCGCCTATATGCATAGCAGAGGCTACGCACACGGAGGTTCGTTTCCATGTAGCCGCGTCACCTAAGAATCTGCGAGTAGCTACTAAGAATCTGGGTCCCCAACCTCTAGATATACATCTTGGCAATGTCATGCTAAGACTTCCACCACAGATAGACGAGTTGTCTGTCGAGCAGCTATACCAGAAATACGGGCATCCCGAGACAGTTCCAGTTTCTCGCGTTGATGGTGGCACATTGCCGCCGAGTATTCCCTCCAAAGCCGTGCGCGCAGTAAATCTCGGGAAAAAAGCAGAGGAAATCTCTCTAGATGAGACCGATTTGTTACTTATTGACTTTGGTGAATCTTTTGCGCCCAAGTCAAGCACGCGACCGTGCGAGGACTGTCGATCGCATCTGGCAGCCCGACCGCCAGAATCACACTTTGAGCCACTCTCACCGCTGTCTTTCCCTGCCGACATTTGGTGCCTTGGTCTTGCCATTTGGAACCTCTTTGCTATACGTCCGCTCTTCGCTGCCGCATTCTCCCCGCCGGCGGCGATTATTGCACAGCACGTAGACGCGCTTGGCCCCCTGCCAAGCGACTGGTGGTCGCGGTGGGAAGAGCGGGGTGACTATTTCGATGAGAATGGCAATTCTATCCAGGGACAGTACGGCGGACCTACACTGAACAAGGCGTTTGACGACTGGCTTCACAAGAATCGACTAGAGTTCGAGGTAGGCAGCTTCTCCGAGGAGGAAAAGACGGCCTTTTTACAGCTACTGCGACGCATGCTTTCCTACGATCCGCTAAAACGCCCTACTGCCGACGAAGTGCTCAAGTCTGGTTGGATAGCCAACTGGGCAATGGACGACTTTGAGAAGAGCTGCCGGGTAGTCTAAATGTGGCGCCCTTGTTGATTGTCAGGCTATTGTTAGTCGCCGGTGCAGTCATTGTGAAAGGAAATGGCGGCCAATTAGTGGTATCGCAAAAGTTGGAAACACGTAATTTGTGAACCTGCATCCGTTGACACAGTAGACTTTGTTTTCTTGTAGGAGAAGCTGAGGTCGTGGGTCTGAGCCTGTTGTGATCTATTACACAACATGCATCACGAGATTGACAATAACCACGTGATGGTGTCCTTTTAAATACGTTGGCGGGGTTATGTCACTTCGGATGCTGTCATTTCTCCTCACCAGTCTACCAACCTAAATCCATTTTATAACATCTTTGCTTCTGCGCTTCAATCCAGATGTCTCACGACTCTAGCGATCGACCAGCCAATATGCTGAGCGTAGCGGAGTACCAGTCGAAATATGATGAAATCTCAGAGATCCGCCTGGCCGCCAAGAAGGATTTCTCCATGTCCAACGCCAAGAAGCGAGAGATTTCCCAGCAGTTCAAGGCCGCCCGCGACGACCTCCGCGCAGCTTCTAAAGCGGCGATGGCTTCGTCGCGCGCGCCCCCAAAAACCTCAAACGAGGCCTCTGGCCCTAACAGTTGAGGCAATCACCGACTACATGGCGGTCGGTCCCTGGATAACTTGCTGGTCACACTCACACTTATTATCGGCTTCTTTTGGTGAAAAATTTTCTATTTGTGCTACCTCGCTGGCTATGTGGATTAAGCTGTAGTCTTGGGATGACGTGTTCTGTCTGGTTATTCACAGGGCATATGGGAAATCCGCGCGGACAAGCTGGCCTACATCGGTGCCATTGACGTTGGTGGCAGCCGCAATGTACAGGCTATTATGATCAGAGGTCGTCCTGCCAAGCGCCACGGCAGAAGCGGTCAGGAGTAGCGTGGAATTGGCGACGATTCTTGATGTCTTGCGAGGGATATTCACTTCAACCAGAACATTCGGTCCATGCTCGGCGATCCAGGCCTTTGTTCCATCTCTTGACAAGATGAAATCGTCTCCCGAGTTAATGGTCGCCAAATCTTCGACTGGACCAGTTGCGCGACCCGTGGACAGCGAGATGGGCACCTTGGCGAAGACGGCCTGGTTGAAGTTGACGAAGAATAGATTGTCCTCGTGAACGTGGAGACCATTGATCCCGATTGGGAGTAGTTCCTCTGTAGTAATTGACATGCGCGGGTCCTCGATGACCGTCTCGAATGCCCCAGTATCGACATTGACCTTTGTGACAGTACCGGCTCCCGAATCGGAGATCAAGACGTGCGAGGTGTCGTTTTGAGCGAGTCGATCCATGCCGTTGAACAAGCCCGCGTCAGGGAAATTCGTCACCAGAGAAACCTCTGCGGGCCGAAGCGTCGTTCCGTCATCTGAGATGCTCGAGTTGCGCAAATCGACTTTCCACAAACCTGTCGAACCAGAAACGGCGGCTAATCCTGTAAGATTCAAACCAATCACGTAAAAGACGTCGGCCTGTAGTTCGACGATGCCGGTTAAACTGGTGACGCCGCAAAACTCAGCAACGGTGAGGGGATTCTCCGATGCAGAAGGCGACACTTGATAGAGCGTCGGCGATTGAATGGAGGTTACCAGAACGTGGCCGTTGCTTCGAACAGCCAGGTTCTCCAAGCCCTGGGTTCCGGGGACAGTGTGTACGGGCGTGAGAGACAAGCCCGGGGCTCGGCATGACGTGGTAGGCAAGGCATGCGAGAGAAGAGCAAAGCCCAGCGCTTGGTAGAGCGCAGTCTTGATGAACATGGTGCTGAGACGTTGGTGTATAGCTGAACAGAATGAATGAGTAGGGGTACAACTGAGGGAATTAAAAAAAAAAAAGTATGCAAAGAAAGGCCAGTAGGGGTGAGGCCTATTAAAGAATGGTGTCTAGGATCGCCTTCTCGAGTGCAACTAGGAAACAGTTGCAGGATGAGCAGCTTTTGTATCCAACGACGACGATGGCGCGAATGTTTTGATGGCTGGTGCTACAAGACAGGAATAGGATGTTGGCAGCTTTTTATTCTCTCAAGTGCGACTCGTCAATGCATAGCTTTGGGCATGAAAAGGGTTTGATCGCCGTCAGCTATCCCCCCCCCCCCCCCCCCCCCACCAATGCTACAAAGTATTCCATCGACGGCCTCTGCTCAAGAAAGGAAATTGAACTCTAGTGACTCTCTCTGGACGGGACTCCCCGTCTTTCTCTCTTGGCGGGCCTATTGCATAAGCGTGCATCTCGGGCCATGTGGTTAATAATGTTGCCGGTGTTCCCGTGCGTTTGCCTGGTTGCGTGACTGGCGGTTTACGTCCCCCCCCCCCTCCCCCCGGTCGCGAGAGTTTATGCAACTGGCTTACAAAGTGCATGCCAAACTCCGTAACTAGTGGGGAAGCGCATGGCGTTAAACAAGGTAGAGAGCTGTGTTGATGACAGCGGAAATGCCGTGATCGCGGCGTTAAACTGTGAACAGGCCACAAGCTGGAGGATATGTAATGAAGACGGATGGAAGATATCCGAAGTTGCTCAGGGTTCATAGCGGAGAATGGCGCAGTTGGCCTGTTGGTCTTGATTGAATACGAAGGTACTGACTGGCTCTTGGTTCTTTGTAGAAGCCACGAATAGATGACGCGCTCAAGTAATAATGATAGTCAATCTCAAAGGTTGACAGTTGTGTGCTAGCTAATTTCGTCTTCTTTATTATTAATCTTTTCCTTTGTCGGTTGTTGCACCCTTAACCATAGCTCTCTTTAACTATGATTAGCAACTGCCACCGCATTTGTCAGGAAGTAAGTGGTCAAAGTAGGTCCCTATATGTCGTTTTCTATTCTCAACATGTCTTTAAGCTCTATTTCCTATCAATTCTTTTTCATGTGTCTTGGATTTTCTTTACCATCTTGATTTCTGCATTTTTCTTTTCTCCTAGCCTTTCTGATTTCAACATTGCATACCTAGGTAGTCAGGTAGCAAGCCACACACATTGAAAGAAGCCCCACTAGAATCTACAGTGCCTGCATACATCTTCAAGCCTCAAACCCAAAATGCCTTGCATATTCACCGTGAACAATCAGCCTTGCCATGGACCCTTGAAAACCACCAACATTCGACGCTCAACATCCCTGTCTGCGCGTCAGCCTCGCCATCGAAACTCGCGAGGCTGCGAGACGTGACTTTTCATCTACATACCACGCGCGGCCATCACAGGCCTGCCCACTGCTCGACTTACTGCCTTGCCAGTGAACAGTGAACAGTGAACAGTGAACAGTGAACCCCTCCAAACAACGTATGCAAGTTGCAACAGAGTGGTTACACGACAGAGCCCGTGGGCGCCAAGCTATTCGTACCCGACGGCATCACGTCCCAAAAAGCTTTGCTTCCTCCTCATTTTTCCTTCTTTCCTTCTTCATTCTTCGCCTTCGTCGTCATGCATCGCAGAACTCGTCCGTCACTGCCCACTCACGCTATTACAAAACCATGGCCAGCCAGTCCTCTGGCGACGTCGAGATACTAGTCCACGTCGCCGCGCCCAGTAGGGTCTCCGACGATGCCACCTACCGCCGCCTCGCCCAGGCCTACTTGTCCTTTGCGCCGGACCACCGCGCACGCGTCAGCAGCATTCCCTGCTCGCCAGAGGTCGAGCCCCAGCCCCAGCCCCAGCCCCAGCCGTCTTTTCGGCAGAGCCAGCCCGACGAGGCCGGCTCCATTGTGCTGCGGTCGTTTTGCCCCGACGAGCAGGACATGAGCTTTGCGGGAGCGTTGGACAATAGGCACTCGCCACGCATCATCATCACGGGAAAGGCGCGGCCGACTACGCCGCCGAGGGTCGCACTGCCAGATGATAATGTCACGACCACAACGGTGCCCCAGCTGCTGCCGAGCCAGGTTGCCGACTCGTACCCCATGCCGGACTGCGACTTGTTTAATGTTACCCCCACGCGGGTTCTGCAGCGGTACATGGGCGGCAGTCGGCAGCCTGACTTGGCTCCCGCGATGCAGGCGCCAATGTCGTCGCCTACGCTGTCGAGCGACGGCGACGGGGCGGAGAAGAATATACAGACAGAGGTGCAGGCCACAGCTGTCAACACATCTTTGATTTCTGCGTCGGACCCGAATAGCTCTCAAGAGAACAGGAAGCAGCGCCAGGCCACGATCCCCGTCACGCCTCTCGTGGAAGGGGCCTCTCGAAAGCGCAAAGCTGATGGCAGTGAAGACGTCCACGACACATCAGCGCTAGACGTCACGCACATATCCAGTAGCGATATCTCCTCCGCTTCGTACCTCCGGCGCGCCGAGTCTGCTCCCTTGCCATCCAAACGCCTTCGCCCACTCGCCTCAGACTCTGCCGCCACCACCGTCCGTCTCGCCCGCCACGCCAGCGAAACCACCCATCACCAACCTCATCCCCATCACGGCACACCGCCACCACCACCACCACCGCCGCCGCCGCCTCCCTCGTGTTCCCTCCCCCTCTCCTACGACGCCCTCTCGCAGATCCCCTCCACCTGTCCCTCCTCCTCGCTCTCCGCGCGCCCGCCCTCGCCCCCCATCGGCATCGACCGCCTCGACCTCTCCAGCCTCGTCTCCGCCAAGCTCGCCAAGCTCGCCCGCGACCTCTCGTCACGGTACCGCCCGCTTCTTCGCCGCAGCGCCGCCCTCGACCCGCTCGAGCGTGGCCATTGGCGCGTCGACTGTCGCCGCTGGACACCCACCCTGCGCGCCGACGCCTGGGCCTTTCTCACATCTTATATTCGCAGCGGCCTCGCCGGCTGGGGCGTCTGGTGCCGCCGCGACCCCGACGGCTGTACGCTCAAGCTCTACGGGTGGGCGCACGTCGCCAAGCACACCTACCTCTTGCTGTACCTGGCCAGCGGACGCCAGATCAAGACGACGGGTGCGCAGTGGTTCGATGCCGAGGGCAAGGTCGCCATCGAGATTGTGCCCTAGGTTCCCGGTACTTTGGGGTTCTACTTGATGTTTTCAGTTTACAGTAATATTTTGTTCCTTTCGCTAATTTTTTTTTTCCTTTTGTCTTCTCTTCTGATTATCAATCCAGGGGTCATTGTGTTTTTTCTGTTTTCATTATCCTCATGTAGACATTATGACTTGATGGGATTCTCAGTACAGGCGTTTACGAGATGGGCGGACAGACAGGTATGGATTTCAACGAATGACGCATGGGACGGAGTCTTTGGCGGTCAAGTTTATCGATACAACGTTATTTCCTGTTTCAATACACACGGTAACCTACGTGAACCATTCACTTTTTCATAATAAATTTCGACTCGTAGCATAATTGTACATGGCCCTCCGTTATCCAGCCAAAGATTCCACTAGCACAACGCATACCAACGAAATACAAAACGAAATACACAGGGAAAAGGTCCAGTACACCGTGGCAACAATATCAAGGTTCCCTCTTGCCCCTGGTATCACAAAATCACGATAGCAAGATTGAACAAGAGGAATTGCGTCCCAAACAAAGAAATCTTCAGCGCGTGAGCACCCGCAGCACACATACCAACAAGTCCAATTCGGTCTTTTCTTCACTTCTCTCCTCCACAGACAGCGTTATTATACCCTCTGCTCACGGCTCCGCATCAAGTCATTGATCTGATTCTTGTACTTTGACTCTCGGCTGTTCCCTTACAGACCCTTGTCCGTCCAGTAGGCCTTGCCCTTGGCGCGCAGATCCGCAATAGCATCGCGGTTCTTTTGCACGTCCGCGCTGGCGGCATCCTTGTATCTTTGCTTCTCCGACTCGGGCAGCGACTTCCACTGTAGGGCGAGCTGACGGAAGGCGTCGGTGGGCGTGTCGGCGGTGACCTGGTCGTGGTTCGACTTGATGAAGAGCGAGTAGGCGCTGGGTGCGGACTTCGCTTGGCGTTCATCGGGAAGAAGTGCGGGACGCCTCTTTTCGAGCTTGCGCGCGAGGCGGCGACGGGCCAGGTTGGCCATGTAGATTACTCCGGCAGGGTACGATTCGACCCACTGCTTGAGGGCAGCTTTATTGGCCGCAAGATTTTCATGAGCGCGCTCAGTGAGACGCTACCAAGGCCGAGTTAACATACACACACGATCTCACGTTATGCAGTTGATTGCAGCTCAACGTACCGTCTTTTCATGTTCAGGGAGGTTCTTGAACTGGGCCGAAATGTCCTTGACCTTGTCCGTCAGGGGCACGCCACTGCCGGCTTTGACATTGTCGGCGAGGAAGACAGTCCAAGCATTGGTTGGCTTGCCCTTGGGTCCCTTGGGCAGCGCCATCTTTCGCAGCTGCGCGAGCTGCTTCTTTTCCTTTTGCTCCGGCGTCAGGGCCTTCTTCTTCTTGGCTGCCGCAGGCTTCTTCTTGGTCGCAGGCTTCTTCTTAGCAGCAGGCTTCTTCTTCTTCGCCGCGGGCTTCTTCTTTGCCGCGGGCTTCTTCTTAGCAGCGGTGGTTGTCTTCTTGCTGGAGGCAGCGGCGGGGAAGCGAACCCGGGCCGACACGGTGAAGCTCCGAGCAATGGGCGCAAAGCGACGCACGCGCGGCGCCGCGGCGGCGAAAATTGGGACGATAATCTTGGAGCTGGTCGATGTGGCCGCAGCGGAGAGCGCGCGCCCGGCGACGGCTCTATTCACGAGGCTCAGCATAGCTGCGGTTGCGGGTGCTTTCGTGTTGGTGAATGTTGGTGGCTCGTGCTAGGCTAGAGGGCACTTCCAAAGGCGATATGCAAGGTAAACAGAGGCACAATCACGCTGTTGCCGTAGCGATGTAGTCGCAAATTCAATAAACGAGCGCGAATCAATCATTTACAAAGTTGAAACTTCAAGGCTGATGGTCCGGAAAAACGATGAATGAGCCGTTGTGTCACGTCGAGGGTGCAGGAAATGGCGAGGGCTGGGGGGCGCTGTTTCGATAGAACGCGGCGCGAGCATATTGCTCCTCCCTTTAATAAGGTACTCACACCATGTTGGAAAAAGTACCTGCATGAAGCGGGGCTTTGCGTGAGATCACAAGTAACCGCTATCAACAACACAGAAGGAGCTTCAAAGTATATAGAACTTCTTGTTGTACGACGATGTCACCGTTTGTGGGGTACTAAGTACTTTAGAGCTCCAGTGATAGCTCCCCAAGCTCCCTCTCCAATCAAATCAGCTCATACCTCTGGCTTATGTCATCAGCCTCTTCGCAGCGAGCCAGCGAAGCAGGCTGCAGTGGGACGCGCGAACGTCCATAGCTGTTTGACGCAGCATTCGCTCTCACCACTTCCGCTTCGCAATTCCACCATCGCCAACGGTTTGCATCACCCATTCGCCCAAGCTTCCAACGCCGAATTGCAACTCTTCATCGTAACTCGAGCGAAACAACTACTGCCACCCGTTGTTCCCACTAAAGCTCCGACCGAGCTATCCTTACCCAAGCCCAACATATTTCAGAATGGATCACCGTCCGCAAGCATGGGGCCGTGTACGTCAATCCCCGACTGCCTTTCTACCGACAATGGACCGCCTCCAGGAGCTTCTCTGGCTAACATAATGACAGCCTAGAGACGATGTCTACGGCGCCTATGATCACTCATACGTCCAGGAGAATGCGCCCCGGACGCACACCCAGCAGCCCATTGTCACGGGCACATCCGTGATTGGCGTCAAATTCAAGGACGGCGTCATCGTTGCCGCCGATAATCTGGGTATGCCGTCTCTCACCTGCACTTCACATACACACACACACCCAAAGCGGCCACCCAGCTAACAGCCCCCTCCCAGCTTCGTATGGCTCCCTCGCGCGCTTCACCGACGTCAAGCGCCTGAAGACGTTCCAAGACACCTCGGTCGTCGGCTTCTCTGGAGACATCTCAGACATGCAGTACCTCGACCGCCACCTCACCGACCTTGCGATCGACGAGGCCTACTCCTCCTCCGCCACGGACGCGCCGCGCCTCAACGCCGCCAACCTCCACCGCTACCTCGCCAAGCTGCTTTACAACCGCCGCTCCAAGTTTGACCCGCTCTGGAACCACCTCCTCGTCGCCGGCCTCGACGACGATCGCCGGCCATTCCTCGCCGCCGCCGACCTCCTCGGCACCACCTACTCCAGCCCCTCCCTCGCCACCGGCTACGGCGCCATGCTCGCCCAGCCCATTATGCGGCGCCGCGTTCCCGATGACGAAGCCGCCGCCACACTCGAAAAGGACGAGGCCATTGCGCTCGTCCAGGAGTGCATGAAGGTGCTGTTTTACCGCGACGCCCGCAGCTTGGACACGTATTCCATCGCCGTCGTGACAAAGGACGGCGTCGATGTATCGTACAACAACAAACTCGAGAACCAGAGCTGGGCCTTTGCCGAGAGAATCCGTGGCTACGGAACCCAAACAGTCTAGCTACCGATACGCAGAAAGCAAGGGGGAGCCGAGAAACTCAGGGGTGCCGTGGGCAGTTGTTGTTCAACATAGTCAGAGCCACACGCAACAATGAATATGTACCAATAGACGTGTTACTCTTATGCTTGACACTTCATGTAAAACTCGGCGATCATGCAATGTTATGCCATACTACAATAGACGTTGTATGAATGAACAAAGAGTCACGGCACTTCTGAACGCCCGAATATTACATCGCTAAATGAATCATTATACTAGCTAGTCCCCGCTTATTAAGCCACCAGTGGCCATACAGATAAGAGACGCCATATCGACTATCCACCGCATACATCGTGAAAAAAAAGACAATATAATCACTAGGTAGTCCAATTTTTGCATCATGCCAACTCCGCAAGAGTCTCATGCCATCCAGGTCAAGGCTCAAAATCAACACTCAAAGCAAAACAAACAAAGAACGCCAATCACGGCATGCAACATGTACTGCAGTGATACCACGGTGAAGAAGTCCAGTAGTACTCTTACTCGACCGTAACCGATTTAGCAAGGTTTCTTGGGAAATCAACGTTGAGACCCTCGAGAACGGCCAGCCAGTAGGCAATCAGCTGCAGAGGAACAACGTTGAGAAGACCTTGCAAGCAGTCGACGGTCTTGGGGACCTCAATCTTGAGAGCGTCGCTTGACTTGAACTCCTCATCGCTAGGGTTGCAAATGACAATAGGCTTGCCACCGCGAGCAATGACCTGCTGGTAGGCGTTGAGGGACTTGGTAAAGATTTCATCACGAGTCATGATCATGATGATGGGAAGATTCTCGTCAACAAGGGCGAGAACACCGTGCTTGAGCTCGCCAGACATGACAGCCTCGCAGTGAAGGTAGGAAATTTCCTTGATCTTGAGGGCACCCTCGAGAGCAGTAGAGAACTGGCTACCACGGCCGAGCAGTAGTAGAGACTTCTGGTTCTTAAAAACCTTCTGGCACAGGTCCTTGATAGGCTTGTCAAGATTGAGAATCTCCTTGATGTGGCCGGAGATTTTGGATAGGCCGTCCATAATCTCCTCGCGACGGACCTTTTTGGAGGCACGGTCCTCGCTCAGCGATAGAGCAAACATGACCATGGCAATAAATTGGGATGTGTAGGCCTTGGTAGAGGCGACACCAATCTCGGGGCCAGCGTTGACGTGGACACCGCAGTGGGTGAGCATGGAAATGGAGGAACCGACAACGTTGACAATACCGACGGTCAGGGCACCGCGCTCCAGGCAGTAGCGGAGAGCCATGAGAGAGTCAGCAGTCTCACCAGACTGCGAGACAAAGACGCAGGTATCGTCACGGAAAACGGGGGCCTGGCGATCGAGGAAATCAGACGCCAGCTCGACCGCAATGGGGATCTCTGTGAGCTCCTCAAAGATACCACGAACAGCCATGCACGAGTGATAGCTGGTACCGCAGGCAATGAATATGATTCTGCGGCAACGACGGATGGTGTTGATGTAAGCGCGAAGACCACCAAGAGTAACAGTTTGGTTGGCAATGTCGAGTCGGCCACGCATGGTGTTGACGACGGACTCGGGCTGCTCGAAAATCTCCTTTTGCATGAAGTGGTCAAACTTGCCCTTCATAATCTCCTGCAGCTCGAGCTCCAGAGTCTGGATGCTGCGGGTGTTGGCGCTGCCATCGGCCTTTTTGAGACGGTGAATGTTGAGAGAGCCCTCGTGGATGTGGGCAATGTCGTCATCCTCGAGGTAGAGGACTTTCTTGGTGTGCTCTACAATGGCGGAAGGGTCGGAGGAGAGGAAAAATTCTGCGGGCATGGGCATGCCATCATCGGTCATGAAGGCACGCGACTGGGAGCGGTGCAGCAGAGACTTGTCAGCGGCACCGAGGAGGTTGTCGCCGGGGCTAAGCAGGGTAGAAGCGTTCTTCTTGAGGGCAACGTTCTGAGAGGCAGCATCGGCGGGCAGGGCTGTCTGGTCATCGGCGTATTCGACGTCGACAAAGTCGACCTTCATGCGGCGCTGAGTCTTGACACCGATGACAAGAGGTGAACCCTTGCGGGCGGCAATGACCTCATGAGGGTAGTGGACAGACTTGATTAGCAAACCGTAAGCACCCTCAAGCTCCTGAATGACGGCCTTGGCAAGATCGGTGAAGCCAATCTTGGGGTCCTGGTCGTAAATGTACTTGGTGAGCTTGGCAATGCACTCAGTATCGGTCTCAGTCTCGAATCGGAAGCCCTTGCTCTCAAGCAGGGTCTTGAGTTCCTTGTAATTGGTAATAATACCGTTATGAACAATGGCAAACTCCCAAGTGGGGTCAGAGCTATTATTTGGGATTAGAGATGCGCTTTTCGGGTGAGTATGGGGGCTGGGCTTACCGGTGAGGATGGCAATTGACAGTGGAGGGGGGACCATGGGTAGCCCAGCGAGTGTGGGCGATACCGGCATGTGAGTCGAAAATCTTGCTGGAGTCGGGGTTCTGTTCCTCGATGAGTTTTCTCAGCTTGGCAACCTTGCCAACTTCTTTGAAAGCAAGCACATCCTTCTTCTTGTCGCCATCGATAGCCAGACCGGCAGAGTCGTATCCTCGGTATTCGAGGCGAGATAGGCCTGGTGCAGGTCTAGTTAGCTAGCTGGATCTGGCGGTGGGGAGGTAAAGGAGGAGTAGCAGCTCACCATTGAGAAGGGTGTCAAGAATGAACTTGCGGTCCTTCTCGACCAGGTAATTGATGTAGCCGAAAATGCCACTGAGAGTTTGGGGTTAGCAAGAGAGTGCGACAGAGGTGCGAGAGGGTGTGTAGGCGTTTCCGCCACGGCTGGCTGGGCTCAAGTCGGTGCCATGTCGCAGTCGTGTTGATGTCGGTACTCACCACATGATGCCGGGGTTATGAACAGGAACGAATGCCTATTGTGACAAGCCGAACAGTGGATGGTGCCGCTGGGTACGGTCGTTATTAGGTGCGGGGTGGTAGAAGTCGCTGGCAGGTGATACAGGAGCGGTGGTGGAAGAAGAGGGGGGGGGGAGAGAGAGTTGTTGCTTTTCCACGAGAGTTGGGGGAAAAGAGCGAAGATGTATGATGTCGTTTAGAGGCGGTGGGCTTGGAGGTAGAGAATTGGGAGTTGTTTGAAGAAGAGTCTGTGAGGGAAAGAGGGGAGTGGCAGCTCTAAGTATGCGTACCTTGGATAGGATTTATTTACGTCGCCGGAGGGGCAGCAAGGCCCTGGCTGGCGCCGATAAAAGCTGCTGGCTTTGGTTGGCAAATGGGGGTTTGGCCTTTTTTTGGCTTGCCGGGCACACCGGGGCAGCTGGCGGTGGTGGGTCCAAGCCTTGGGGCTCAGCGCATGTGGGGTACTGAAAAGGTGCCGCCAGGCCAGGCCAGGTACAGAACTAACAGTTAAGGGCAAAGGGGTTGGAGCAAGTTTTGTTTTCTTATTCAAGGTTTCTATCTCATCTGGCCGGTTATAGAGGCTGACCAGTCTACAATGCTCAAAAGGCTCCGGGCGGTGGCAGCCAACGAGCCAATCTCTAGGTTGGTAGGTAGGTGTACCTGGTAGTCAGGAGGTAAAGTACGGAGTACCTAGGTAAGGTAGTCAGGGCATTGTTACAGCGGCCCCCGGTACGGATACAGATACAGAAAGGGCGGTTGCCATGCCACCTCTTCTCGGTCACACTTACTATTTACACTACACGTGGGCTCGCCCACAGTATTCTTCTAGCTTAACAAAGAGATACATGACCTAGGAATCATGGATAGCGACTGATAGAGGAAAACCCCCTTTACCGCTGTTCAAAAAGGCGAGATATGCGCGGTGCTGCAACACCCTGCCCGTGTCGTACACACCTGCAGATCTCAGTCTGACGGGCAAGGGCCTTGTGGTTTATTGCCGTATTCCATCGTGCAGGTGTTACCAGTAGTTAACTCATCGCCACAGAGGCCAGCCACCCAAGACAGGATACGTGCAGGTGGTGGTGGTCTAGGCCAGCTTGGCCAGGTCGTCTCAGTTGACTGCACACCGCAAGTGTCTACAGAAAATCTGCAGAAAATCTGCAGAAAATCTGCAGCGAATTTGTATCCATGTCTTTGGCCATGCCTTCGTTGAGAAACCACTCTTGTCAAACCAAGCAATTTGCATCCACAAGCGGTTGTTCTGCCAGCGGCGCCAAACTGCCCACCCACTCTGAAACGCGCCATCGTAGCCCCAAGTTTAAAGTACAGCGTTCAACCCGCTGAATCGGTCGACCTGCTGCGCACCAAAGAACACCTTTGGCCTGGCAACGCTCAAAAACGCCTTCGAGTAACAAAATATTTGGGGACCTAACTAGGGTGAGCTAGGTAGGCGTAGGTAACTTGAGATGCACGCCCCCCTGTACATATGCCAAGACGACATTATGGCAGAATAAGGGTCCCCCAGGTGATGATGTCGTCACTGCCAGGGCCAACACGAGAAAGAAAGGCGCACACAGGCCGGCCCGCGCGCGTCGACTTGCGCTGTACGGACAAACGGACAACAGTGTCAAGTGTACGGAGTACACTCGCACAAAACAGAGGACCACCTTTTGTCGTCATGGACCTCGTGTTGCTCCAGGCCGGTCCCAACCGTCTCCCGACAATGTGGATGCCTTTTTTCCTCTATCTTTTTTTTTTAACCAAGATACCATCTCCATTGTATTTTAGTCTTGCTGACACAACTCGACAATCTCTGGCAATAAAAGCCAAACACAGCACGAGCCAAAAAGATCGCCACTGTTGCCCCCCCTCTCACACGGAAAGCACAGCCTCGCTACCTAACCTCCTAATAATAGAAATAACAAGTCATCGCAAAAAATAAGCACCTTAATTCTCCTGCAGCTGTGACCCGAATCTGGGAACAACGACAGTGCCATACCCTTTCACCTGCGTAACATCGCTTCACGTATCCTCGACTGGCATACCCGTGTCTTTCATGCGAGCCAATCGCTCGGATCAGCGGTTACGAGCTTCTTTTGCCCACAACTTGCCTGCATTTCCCTCCTTTGACAGCCGCCATGACGTAGCGTTTCCATGTGCCAGATCTCTTTCTTTCTTTCTCTCATGGCCTCCCAGTCAATGTAAAGCAGCGACCCATCTTTACATTGACGAATGAAATAACTATTGGCTGCTAGGCTATTCTGGCAATGACCTCGTTCTTACCAGATTCGCCTCGGCCCATCAACTACACTTCTCAGTCTGCCCTCTGCGCTTACATCTCCCCGCCGGACCTCGCAAGCCTCGCGGTTGGCCTTTGACTGGCCCGCTTCAATCTCGAATTTGATGCCCCCCTGGTTCTACTACTCGATTTCGAAAATAGTATCTTTTTTTATCATAGCCTCCGCATATTTCGCCCAACTATCTTACTTCTGCATGTGCCGCCCCGGTCTGGCGCCTGTGGCGCTCGCTCCGCCTCATGGCTGGGGCCGCAATGCAATCGCGGCTCGACTGCACATCTTCCGCACAATGCATGAGGAAGCAAACTACAACCGGCCTTCAGCTTAACAGTAGCCAAAAGTGCAAGAATCCCTTCTTAGGGTCCATTCCTACCCTAGCCCCGAGTAGCTAATGTACAGTTCTACATCACCGTCTTTCTCTCCTGCTCTTGCTTCTGTGATCCTGCTCCCATCTGCCACCATCTACAGCTTCTGGTAGTCTAGCTTGCCTTCCAGCTTCTTGGCCTCAGCCATCTTGCGCACCGCCTTGTTGAAGTCGTCCTGATTAATCGACTCGCGGTAATCCTTGATCGCAAAGAGACCACTAGACATCCGAGTTAGCGATAATTCGATTCTCGTGAACCGCATAGTCGGTACTCACGCCTCTGTAACCACGTTTCTCAAATCGGCACCGTTCAGGCCGTCGCTCATCTTGACCACGCTCTCGAAGTCAATGTCGCCATCAAGAACCACACCAGCCGCGTGAATCTTCAAAATCTCCAAACGGCCAACCTCGTTGGGCAAAGGAATCTCAAGCTTGCGGTCCAGACGGCCAGCACGTAGTAGCGCAGGGTCCAGCGTGTCTGGTCTGTTGGTGGCCATGATAATCTTGGTCTTGCCAAGGTAATCAAAACCGTCCAGCTGATTGAGTAGTTCCATCAGCGTTCTTTGAATTTCTCGGTCCGCACTGGTACCCTCGGAGAATCGTCGACCGCCGATGGCATCGATTTCGTCCATGAAGATAATGCAGGGCTCGTGCTCCTTAGCATACCCAAACATTTCACGAATCAGTCGCGCCGACTCGCCGATATACTTGTCGACAATAGCAGACGAGACCACTGACACAATTTAGCACAATGTTCCATGGTCTCCAGCAGTCAACATACCCTTCAAGAAATTGGTCTCCAGGCTGCACGCGACCGCTCGCGCCAGCAACGTCTTTCCGGTTCCGGGGGGGCCGTAAAGCAAGACACCCTTGGGTGGCTTGATGCCGACGCGCAGGAAAAGCTCCGGGTTCTTCAGCGGCAACTCGATGACCTCTCTTAGCTCGCGAATCTGGTCGTTCAGACCACCGATACCAGCAAAGCTGACCTGGCCAGGGTCTTCCAAAGACATATTGTATACGAGCGGGTCGACCTCGCGAGGCAGCATGCGCATGATTGTGAGTGTCGTCATGTCGAGCGCTACACGGGTGCCCTGCTTCATCTTGGCCTTGTCGACCTTTGATCGGCAGCCAACCACGTAGCGAGGGCCGGACGAGGCCTTGACGATGACTATTCGACACATTCGCGTTAGTATTCGGTCAGTTTGATGCGCCATAGTGCACCATCACAGGCGCCGATAGTCGCGGTGGACAGCGTCAGATGCTTACATCTTTCCTCATCGAGCTGCTTCAGCACCTCGCCGATGATTTGCCCAACGCTCTGCAGCGCCTTGATGTTCTCCTCTGTGCGGTCAAAATCCTTCTGTAGTCCCTTGATCTCAAGGCGTAGATTCTTGAGCTTGGCTTCCCACTCGCGGGACTCGATGAGCTTGGCCCGGTACGAGTTCAGGGCTGCCTGGCGCTCCTCTTCCGGCGTCATGGTTGCTCTGTCACGAACTGCTGCGTCACTCTATGCTCGTGTTGGTATTCAATTCCTGGATGTCGCAGTCCTCGAGCGTCTCGTCGCGATATCGGTGCTTGGTAAGACGGATTCGAGCTGCGTGGTGTGAATGTTCAAGGTACGTTCTTTGCCGCGAGCTTACCTCACCGGCTGGAGCCTTGGGTTGCGCATTTGCCCCCATTGGTCTAGGCGGCAGAAAGTCGGCTCTAACCATATTGGGACGGCTGGACGGCTAACCAGCACCCAAGCACCCTAAAATGCAGCTCGAAAGAAATGCAAATCCCACTCAAGGACAAAATCAGATTTAGCATAAATTTCAAATATTGTGTATCGATATTTAAGTAACATCGACTCTATCCACGGGATCTGATTCTCTATTCTCAGATATATTGGTGCTGCTGTGAGCCAAGTCACACTCCACTCTAGCTTCCATCGTGCACCTATCCGTATAAAGACGATGTATCCAAAGGGAAAAACAAGACTCAAAACGCCTGATCGGTATCCATACATATGCATGTTCAAAAACCACCCAAACGCGGCCAAACTCCATATCTTCCCAGTAATGCATTAGCCAATCTGGCTCAACTTCTCACTCTAGGCAGAAGCCTTATCAGACCCCGGCGCAGCAGGCTTCTTTGTGTCAGCTTCGTCGTTGAATCCCAAAGCGTTCAATTCCCGTGTCAGCTCGTTTATCTTTATCACCTTGGCAATTTGCTCTGGCAGTAGACCCTGACCCTCGTCTTTCTTAGCCTTCAGGTCCTTGGCCTGTTTTAGCTTCTTCTTCAGATTGCGGACTTTCTTTTCGCGCTCGACTTCGGGGTCGAGTTTTTCAGCCTTAGGCGGCTTCAAATTTTGCGAAGCATCGGTTTCCTTCAGAGGTGTTGCGTCAGCCAAATCAGTAGACTTGGCCTTCTTGCGCGCCTCCCGTCGCTTTGCGTTCTTATTGCCAGCGACTGATGTGGTGGGCGTGATCGTGGCTGGCGTGCTATTCTCTACACGTCTCCAGGAACCGGATGTAGATCTATCGCGGTCCTGAGCGGTGTTGGAGGCGCCCGAAGCCCGGGGCGCGTCGTCTTTGGATGCCTCTGCCTCTGCCCCGGGTACACCCATGCGCATGCGCTCGCGATGTGCGACAACATTGCGGGCTTTGTATAGTTCAATGTCTTCCGCGGGTCGATAGCCGGGTCGAATCTTGATTGCTTTGCGAGTAGTTCCGTCAGAGCGAAGAGACTCTGGGATGTGGCGCTCGCCGCTCGCCTCGTCGGTCACGATGCCGGAATTCGTCGACGTCGGTAGCATGGTCGCGCTGCTTCTGAGCCCCGCCAAATGCCCCTGCCGATGCGGCTTAGAGGTTCTTGTTGCCGATAATATTTATAGTGTAGAGTGTACAGTACTGCAATTCTTTCTATGTGTTGTTTTGCAGTTTGCGGCAGGAGGAAAATAGCAAAAAGTGTAGATAGATATTTATGAGTAGACTTTGCGATCAAAATGCCACTCAAATAGGTACCACCTAGCATCAAGCCCGCGCCGGCTTTTTATATGCGTGGGGTGTTCGTGACCCACAGTAGCACACCACTCTCTAACAGTGATTCAAATCAAAAATAAATGAAGAGGAACGAGGGAGAAATCTCAAGTACAGCAAGTACATAAAAGTACACTTGATTCATCAAAGCGCTTAGATACCCGGATTATTTCATCTAACGCCGAGATCAATCATTGGCACAAGTGCTTTCTGACCTGCTTGCTTTCAGTCAATCACGCATAACTGCGGGTTACCGGACTCTCTTTGCCCACCCTCTTCGCAGCGTTCCAATCAAGCCCGATTGTGTGTAAATGGCAAGGTAGCTATGTTGTGAGAGACAGATTTAGCAATCGTTTATGTAGACATGGTGAGTTGATGCGGTCACACAGAGATGAGGCGTGAGCTGGCCCAGGCTGGCACATGGGCAACTACATGACGTTATGGATAATTCGTGAGTCCTCTGCGGTTATTTTATGACGACCGCGGAATTGTCAATGTACCACGCTCTCATCCGGTACGAATAGCATCTACATTGTTGTGCGAGACTCACGGGAGCCATCGGATTACAAGTGGGGCCAAGGTCACGGCTCTGTCAGTGTCTCAGCCAATCAGCGCTCGGCTAATGACTGCCGTCGAAGACTTTCCTGGATTTCCCTGACAGCAACTCTGCCAGCATTCTAGCACATCAGCCTTTTGCCTCGCCAACAGCCCGCCACACGGCCCCTCTGCAGACCGAGATAATTCCAAGAGTGCTCAATTGCACACAGTCGTCGACATGGTATGTACAATCTCCGTTTCCCGGCTGATTTTGCTCGCCGCACGCCGCCAACTGTGCTAATGCCGCAACGCTATAGATCTACAGGCAAGTCGACGAATGACCCGAGACCGAATTGACCCTGAAGCGACGCGGTGGCTAACCTGCTGCGACTATAGCACCATCTTCCGCAACAACTTCACCATGCTGGCCGCCGTCTTCAGCGCTGGCTTTGCTTTCGAGATGTACGCCCGTTGTGCCGAGGAGCCCCGTCCGACAGATTGCTAACGCGCAACACAGCGGTTTCAACCAGGCCATGAACAAGGTTTGGGACAACAACAACCGTGGCGTAAGTCAATAACGTACCGATGTCGGAAGATGAGCCTTCGCTAATGCAGTATCAGCGGCAATGGAAGGACATCCGCCACAAGTACGTCGAGGAAGCCGAGGATGACGAGTAAAGCACCATTACTCGGTCTGGGTGGAGATTAAGCGCTGTAAACTTGTATAAAAGACTCAGAGAAATAGAAATGGAAAATTCTAGTAATTTTGTCCCAGCATGGACGCATCACACGAGCTTGCGAATGTAGGTGGTTGAACCGGATCGGCGAGGAGCAGCACGCGCTGCCGTAAAAAGCACTCTGCTCGACTTTTTCTCCGGAGGTATCAATTTCGGAAACCAATCATTATGCATGTGTTCTGTCCGAAATGCACAGGGAAGTTTGATACTGTATGGTAGGTAACTGGGTAGGTAGGTAGGTAGCTGAGTGGTTCCGCTCCTACCTCAGCGCTGACGTTTGGCGCCACCTACCTAGGTACCTACACAGCGAGGGGCATCCACTGAATTATTAGGTGTCGATAGCACACGAAACACTTCCATTTGTCTTCCACTTCCATCTAACAAGACAAAGTCTGTCACAATACAACGCCGAGGCTCACTTTGCTGTTATCTCTTTTTATTGCTACCGATTGCCTTTGGAGCTGCGGCAAGATTCACGTGTGCCCATCTCGGCCGAAGCTCTGCATATTCTCCGACATTGAAATCGCCCCCGCCGCAGCGACATTCGCCATCGAAAGAAAGCCGTTATCTTCGACGACATAGGACACCCTCACGCGGCTAACAACTCGAGTACACAATGACAGCTTGAGTATGGATCAGTCAATGTCTACTCAGGAGCAGCAGCTCTGTCAGCTGCTCGCGGACCTACCGTCTCGATTCCACTACCGTTTCACAGACGAGGCCAAGCAGGAGCTGCTTCGCAGCTTGTTCCTGTTTCTGACTGGTGGCAAGGATGACTATATGCGTCTGCTGTTTCCGGATGGAAAACCTCCAGTCTCTCTGAGACTCAGTGATGCTCAGGGCGCCCTGGAAGGTGCCGAGTACAGCGAGGCAGCGCGAGGCAAACGCTGTGGCCATATCTTCAAGGCCGGCGAAGCTTCATACATGTGCAGGACCTGCGGGACAGATGAGACCTGCTGTCTTTGTAGCAGATGCTTTGACTCAACCGATCATACCGGGCATATGGTTCGTATATCAATTTCAGTCGGCAATAGTGGATGCTGCGATTGTGGCGATGATGAAGCTTGGAGGACGCCTTTATTCTGTACCATACACTCCGATATACACTCAGGAACACACAAAGGCAAGGGAAGAGAGGCTGCGAGCCTACCAGATGATATCACATCTAGCATTCGAATGACCATCGGGCGAGCCTTTGACTACATATGCGACGTTATATCCTGTTCGCCGGAGCAGCTTCGTCAAGCGAAAACGAAGGAGTCCATTGAAAAGGACGAAGTGGTATCGAGACTATCATCTTCCTACTACAACTCCACGGCCGATCAATGCGATGAATACGCACTTATTCTCTGGAATGATGAAAAGCACACAGTGCAAGAAGTGGAAGACCAAGTCGCTCGCGCGTGTAGAAAAACGAGGCGACAAGCTTCTCGAGATGCTTGGGAAACGGACTCCATGGGTCGCAGTCTTCTGAAATACAGCCATGATATCAACGAGCTGCTGCAAATGTCACGGATCTTAGAAGCTATTCGGATCACAGTTACACTCCGATCTGCCCGAGACACGTTCCGAGAGCAGATGTGTGGCGCTCTTATAGAGTGGCTGGGTGATATTTCCGGCTGCTCTGTCGGGTCAGACCACAACATTCTGCGTAATACAGTCTGCGAAGAGGTCATGAAGCCATGGAAACAAGGTAGCTCTGCTACGCACACACTTGGACTCATTGACGATGAAGATGAGGACGACCAATATATGATGTCCAGAGCTCGACTTCAAGGCGTAAACGCGCACTTCATTCTTGCCCTCCAGGCTACAGCAGGAGGTGTAGGCGTTGACGCGGACGATGAATCTGACGAGGATGCTATCGATGATACTGGGTTTGACGACTTCATGGAAGAGGCCGACGACGACGAGAATGCCTCACGTGGAGGCTCAGTAGTGGGAGGTGGTGATGATGACGATGAAGATGTCATGATGGTCGACCCTAGAGGCGATGTTGGCGATTTGAACATGAACTGGAGCCAATCGGATCAAGCCCTGGAAGAAGATGAGGCTACCATGGCCGGGTATCCGCCGCCGCCGCCGCCACCGCCTGTGCCGGCATCGACAGCAGCAACGGGGGCGGAGCAAGTGCGGGAAGGCACGCCATCAGATTCGGATCCTGCCGAGGCCATTCAACCTCCGGCTGCCTACCCCAAGGCGAATCTCAACATTCCGCAAACGCCCGGTAAAACAGAAAAGGCTGTACCACGGCCTGGCCCGTACTGGATCGAGACACCTGCCAGCTACACCCAGCGTGAGACTGTCTCTCCCGCTGAAGACGTCTTCCAGAGAGTTAGACTCGACTGGCTCCTCTTATTCGATCTCAGGATGTGGAAAAAGGCAAGAAATGACCTTCGCTCCCTGTATATCTCCACTGTTGTTTCGGTGCCCGAGTTCAAGCGTGTGCTGGCGCTCCGATTTGCCAGCCTCTACACCATACTCGCACAGCTGTACTTGGTTGGCGACAGGGAGCCTGATCACTCCATCATCAACCTTTCTCTACAAATGCTTACGACCCCTTCCATTACTGCCGAGGTGGTAGAGCGCGGCAATTTCATGAGCAGCTTGCTGGCTATTCTTTATACTTTTCTGACGACGCGTCAAGTTGGACACCCATGGGATATCTCTCCTGATGCGGTCCTGGGCTTTGAAAGTGGCTCCGTGACGAATCGACGAATGTACCACTTTTATCAAGACCTCAAATATCTCTTTGGGTCTCCTCATGTTCAAGAGCGAGTGCGCAGCGAACCGAGATATCTGATGCAGTTCCTTGATCTGGTCAAATTGCATCAATGCATTGGTCCCAACGTCCGCGCAGTGGTAGAGCACGTCGAATACGAAGCCGATTCTTGGATCACTGCCTCTCTTGTCACCCGTCAGATCAATCTCCAAGCACGAAATCTTGCTGAAGCTTTCAGAGACTGTCCCCCGGACGAAATCTCTTCTCTTCAGCGTGCCATCCGTTTCACCGCCAAGACTGTCATTCTTAATGCCATTGGTGCTGATCGTCTGCGATTTAAGCAAGGCGAAATCAAGGAAGAGGTGAAGTTCAAGACTCTAAACGACTTTGAATTTGACTTCGACTCGGCGACGTACCAAGTGGTCCAATTTGTGGTCGAGAAAGACCAAATAAGCTTTCATCATGCTCTCCATTACACTCTATCTTGGCTGATCGAGTGCGGTCGGTCGTTACCCGCGTCCGATATCAAGACATTGATGAGCTTCACTTTGCAAGAGCTCAAGGCAAAGCCAAGACTAATGGGACGACCACAAGTTCCCAAGGCTGAGTACACAGCGGAAGACTATCTGATGGCTGCCTTTGACTATCCCCTGCGAGTATGTGCTTGGCTGGCACAAATCAAAGCCAACATGTGGGTTAGAAATGGTATCAGTCTTCGTCACCAAGCGAGTACCTACAAGGGTGTTTTGCAGCGAGACGTTTCGCATCATCGCGATATCTTCCTCTTGCAAACCGCCATGGTAATCTGCAACCCTAGCCGAGTTCTTGCATCAATAATTGATCGCTTCGGCATGGAAAAGTGGGTAAAAGGCTTGTTTGAACTCAAGTCAGAAGCACAAGACGACAATCAGCATCTTGATGTTGTGGAGGATATGATTCATCTCCTCATTGTGCTACTCAGTGATCGCACATCATTGATTGCTAGTGAGGATGAGCCGAACGCTCGCATATTGGCCATGCGTCGGGATATCACTCACGTGCTGTGCTTCAAGCCGCTGTCTTTCAATGAGATTTGCAACAAGCTGCCCGAAAAGTATCAAGAGCAAGAAGATTTCCACAACGTGCTGGATGAAATGGCCACCTTTAAACCTCCTGAAGGTGTCTCCGATGTTGGCACATTCGAGTTGCGACCCGAGTTCATACAAGAGATCGATCCATACATTGCACATTACAACAAAAACCAGCGGGAGGAATCCGAAAATGCATATCGCAAGAAGATGGCCAAGAAGACCGGCAAGTCGGTAGAAGAAATCGTCTACGAACCGAAGCATCACCCAATCCCCTCCGGTCTGTTCAAAAACTTGGGTCAATTCACAGGGACGGGAATGTTCGCACAGATCATTTATTACTCGTTACTGTACCCGTTGGTTGCCGAAAGATTTACGCCGTCCGTTCCTGTTACGAGACTTGAAACATTTTTGCAGGTTGTCTTGCATCTCATGTTGATTGCCATACACGAAGATACATCAAGTGACGAGGTTCAGACGGAAGACGAGCCGAATTCATTTGTGCATATTGCGCTAACTAGGGCATCAAGAGGAAACTTCATGCCTGATGCCCAAAGCGCCAGAACTATTGTCTCCCTCCTGCACATGCTGTCCACCAAAGAGGCTTTTAAATCTTCTCATCCTAAAATCTCGTTGGTGCTGAAGCGTCTGAAGCAGCGTCGTCAAAGTGCCTTTCAGGCATCGCTTATCCACCTTGGTATCGCTGTTGACCGGCTTGACACCGCGTCACCTGCCAATGTTTCTGCGGACGAGGAACGAGAGAGGCGAAAGAAGGCGGCGCTCAGCCGCCAGGCAAAGGTCATGGCCCAGTTCCAGCAGCAGCAAAAGAGCTTTATGGAAAACCAGGGGGGTGTTGACTGGGGCTCTGATTTAGAGGATGACGAGGAGCTGCAGCCTGCTGAGGATCGTAAGCACAATTGGAAGTACCCCACTGGTACCTGCATTCTGTGCCAGGAGGAAGCTGATGACCGCAAGCTCTACGGTACATTCGCGCTATTCAACAACAGCCGCATTCTCCGGCAAACCGACTTCCAAGACCCCGAGCTAGTGCGAGAAGCGTCTCAGACTCCATGCAGTCTCGATCGTTCTGCCGAGGATATTCGCCCCTTTGGTATTGCCAGAGAGAACAGAAAGATGGTGGAAAAGCTCAACTCTGATGGTCAAACATTTTTGGCGGAGCGACAAACAATTGGCAAGGGTTTCGATGCGAAATTCTCTCGGCCTGGGCCTGTGGCCAGTGGATGTGGACATATGATGCACTTTCGCTGCTTCGAACAATATTATGAGGCGACAAACCGCAGGCATACTCATCAAATTGCGCGCCATCACCCAGAAGACACTCGTCGCAACGAATTTGTTTGCCCTTTATGCAAAGCTTTGGGTAACGCATTCTTGCCAATCGTCTGGAAGGGCTTAGAGGAGTGCTATCCGGGCTATCTCCAGCCTCAGGACACGTTTGAGGATTTCTTAGCCAAACAAATGGGGTCCGCTTATTGTCTGGGCGGTAGTAAGGCGCCTGAGCTTGATGATTCCAATATTCCTGCCCTATATACCCCCAGTGTTCCCGGTAGCCTCGTGGAAATAATACGGCAGCCACAGCAGTCCACGGACGCCTCATGGGGTCGGGGCGAAGCCGAACCATCTCCCAGTTCATCAGCAGAGGTATCAACTCCGTCAGGAGAGGCGTCTGCTCCCTCTGGCCACACACTTCCGGCTGCGAGTAACTCGCAAATCTTCAGCGAATTGAGGGCTGCGTATCGGCGACTACGAGAGACGCTTCGACTCAACGACCTTGACGCCCGGCACGTGGCCGACACCAAGGCAGATGACATGGAAGAGTTCCACTTGAATGGTACTCTAGTTCACTCTGTGGGTTATACCATTTCCTCTGTTGAGATCCAACAGAGAGGAATAGAGGCGCAGCCAGGCATGACCCTTTTAGAAAAGATTCCAGAGCAAACTCTTACCCACCTCCGTGTCTTGTCCGAGACAGTCACGTCATTTATGGCGGTCATGGCACGCTCAGAAAAGCAGATTGAGACCGACTTCATCAAGGACTCAGAACGTCAGCACTGCGAACTATTCATCTCGCGATACTTTGGTACAGGAACACCTCATGCTCGCAGGCCATTGGATGTCTACCCACCGCTTCTAAGCATGGACCCTTTCATCTTCCTGGTTGAGTGCTCGTATGTCTTTGTTCCTGTGCATGAGGTTGAGATTTTGCATGTTTTGAGGCTCTGTTACCTTGCCGAGCTTGTCAAGATTGTCTTCCACATGGGTCGAAACATATCCACGGACACGTGGCTGTGGAATCTAAGCAATAGACAAACACAAGACCCTGCTATCAACAATTTTGCAGAGTTCGCTCTGAGCATTACAAAATACGCACTCGAATTCCAGGCTCTGACTTCCCAAGAAACTGAAGGCGGAGAGCACCGTGGCTTCCAGCAGCCTGGCGTCGACTCTCTCGAGGGCTGGTACACTTTTGCCAAGAAGTACGCTCTCACATTTTTGCGCAAGTCTTTGGTATTCCTCCATGTGAAATATGGGGTGGACTTCAACAGTCACATTTCGCCATCACCCGAAGCAGATGAGCTCGATCGGTTGACGGAGGCGTTGCGCATTCCCACTTTCGACGAGATGTGTGCAGCCATGACTCCCAACGCTGGGGCTTGCGGCTGGCCTGAGACAGCACAGACGCTAGTTTCCGGATGGGTTAAGCATCAAGTCATGTGGCCCCGAGCCTACAATGAAGTGCCGCGTTCAGGTATGATGAGCCATCCGGGCATTTTCGAGCTCATCGGCCTACCTAAGACGTACGACACTTTGATCGAGGAGGCGACTCGGAACCGGTGTCCCACAACTGGCAAAGATCTGACAGATCCTGTGCTCTGCATGTTTTGCGGAGCTCTTTTCTGCAGTCAAGGAACCTGTTGCCAGCGCACAGATACCTCTGACAGAGAATCAACTAGACTCGGAGGCGCGCAACAGCACATGCGAAGGTATATTTGTGAAAGGATATTGGTGACTAGAAGAGGAGCTGACTGTCTTTAGGTGCCAACAAAATATCGGTGTATTCCTCAACATCCGAAAGTGTTCCATTATTTATCTCTTTCGACGCTCTGGATCGTTTACTCCAGTACCTTATATCGACAAGTACGGTGAGACTGACCCTCAGTTGCGCCATGGACGACAGCTTTTCTTGAATCAGAAGCGATACGACTCTATGATTCGCAATACAGTGTTGAATCACGGGGTTCCAAGCCTAATCAGCCGCAAGTTGGAGGCTGAAATCAATAATGGTGGTTGGGACACATTGTAAGGAGCTATGCGGGTAGCATTATTAATCAGGGCTCAATTATAGAGGAGTGACTTAGACTTCATGAGACATGTATAAAATGGTCAAGATAACTATTTGACTCGAATGCATTGCTATTCTTTTCCCGGCTGCCTGAAAGATGTTGTGTAAGGTAAGTTATTGTAGTCCGGGCCTAGCAGAGGTACAGTGCAACTCCACAGTGTGTAGTGGTATGGGCACTCCACCCGATAGCCGCTGCCCAATCAAGGGAGGGAATGACTGCGCGGCGCGTCTCCAACTTACCTTGCCTTTAAAGAACTGCGACTGGCTCATAGAGAAGCCAACGCCTTGTGCCTTGCGCGACGTCAACTATCAAGCCGCCACGATATTTATTGCATTAGCACGAGCAACCACACGATTGATTATTTCCGCGCAATAGTTGAACATGCCTGCGGGTCGCCGCTCTGGCCGTGCTGCCGCAAAACGGGCGGCAGCTGCTCTAGGTACGAACTCGATAGAATTGCATCTCCAACAGGATGCGCAATGCTCTGCGCCATTTGGATTGATGCGTGCTTTACAACATTCATTTTTTGCAGTTATGGTAGCGCATGCCACGGATTCGTTTTGCTGACCAATATCGTTTTCTAGAGAGCACCCCCAAAGGCTTCGCAGATGTAGAGGACGAGCCGATGCCCGACGCAGACGTTACCGAAATGTCAGAACTTGCCAACCAAGACGATGAAAATGACGAAGATCATGAGGAGCCGCCTGAAGAACCGGAAGAGGATGATAACGAAGAAGCCGTTCCAGAAGAAGACACCAAAGAGGAGCCATCAGACAAGGAGCCCACGCCGCCGCCACCTCCGGTCTTCAGAAGAAAACGTCTAGGACGTCCACCGAAGAATAAACCCCCGGGCTGGGACAACATGATTACAATTACCGAAGAGGAGGCCAACATGCCGCGCCGACGCGGCCGTGGAGGCTGGAGGGGCCGTGGCGGTCGCAAGGGCGGTGCGCCGCCTCCCAAGGCCGAGCAGGTGATTGACGCCGACGGCACCATTGCCGAGATTGTCAACGACGAGTGCGTGCTTCCCGAGGATCCCGAGGGAGAGACCAAGGTCGACAAGCTGGGCAACCTGCAGGGCGACCGCGACTACCGATGCCGCACCTTTACGGTGCTGGGCCGTGGCAACCGCCTCTACATGCTGTCGACGGAGCCCGCCCGTTGTGTAGGCTTCCGCGACAGCTACCTCTTCTTCACCAAGCACCGCAAGCTGTACAAGATCATCGTCGACGACGACGAGAAGCGCGATATGATTGAGCGGGATATTATCCCCCACTCGTACAAGGGCCGATCGATAGGTATCGTGACGGCGCGGTCCGTGTTTCGTGAGTTCGGCGCGCGCATCGTTGTCGGCGGCAAGCGTATCATCGACGACTATGATGTTGCTGGGGCGAAAGCCAGCGGCGCGGTCGAAGGCGACCTTGCGGACCCCAACGACCGCATCATCCCCGGCGAGGCGTACAACAAGAACCAGTACGTCGCCTGGCACGGAGCGAGTGCCGTGTATCACACCAATGTGCCGTCAGTGCCGGACCCTACGGGCAAGCCAGAATATAGAAAGCGCCGTGTCAATGTCAATGACACCAACTGGATGCTCGAGCACGCTCGAGAAGCAAGGTAAGCCACCCCAACAGTGAATTTCTGGTAAGCGAGAAGAAGAGGACTGACCAGCACGAAGCACATTCAACGCCGGCATTAACGCCATCCGAAGGCTCAACAATGCAGGCGTCTACGATATTCACACCAATGTGATGCAGTACCCCGCGTACATGCAGCCCACTCTCGTGCGCATCGAGCAAATATCGCCCGACGAAGAGGAAGCGACGGCCGCCGCCGCCGGCCCACGCTTCCCCGCCGTCCCTTACAAGGTAGCGCGCAACTTTCTCGTCGCCGACACGTTCATGGACAGCCCCATCGGGCTGCAGGCCGCCGCCGCCACCTGTCGCGAGCGCACCAGCGACCCGGCCGCCTTCTTGGCCGCTTACGACGGGCTTGCCGCCGTACCCGACGACGTTAAGGATCTGCTGCCGCCTGCGTGTCGCGCCGCGTTTGACGGCGCGCTGGCCAAGGAGGCGGCCTGGAAAGCGCAATGGGGCACGGAGAAGGAGAAGGGCGCGCGGAGACAGCCGATTATTGACAAGGCGATTGTGCCCTACAGCATGGCGTCTTGAGTGGTTGATCGAGGGCGCTGGGAGGTGCTCGAAAAAGAGCGGTAGTCGCGGGGTGTGGAGGCATGAATGAGAAGCGGCATGCTACCGTGTTGTCTGCTTTTGTGGTAAACATCAAGCGACGCCGCGGTTGATGAGAATTTGGAAAGGCGTTATTTGGAGGATCATTTAGGACTCGTGACTTGTATGAGAGTTATATGAATACATTATATCAACTGGACGAGGCATGCGGTCGAGGTGTCATAAACTACGGCAAGCTTTCATGTAACAGGCTGACACTCAATCGTCCCACTGCGACGGCAAGCTAGCGATTCAGATTGCATTGGCAGCGATTTTTAAATGCTTTATTGTTACAGTGTGCTCATTGCGAGCAGAGGTATGTGTATGGCAAGTACATGCGTGGCCCTCCCTCTTTTCTAAACAGGAGTGACATCATGACGAATAAAACAAGACAGGAAGGCCAGTTTTTGCGCATAATTCACTGGTTTCTTCTCTTTTCCGATGCAGAACTTGACCATATCCGGAAACTGACACCCGAGAGAAAACGTCCGCGGTCTCTATATCCCATTCTCTTCCATTGCGAGACACAAGCGTCCCTATATGAGGGTGTGAGTGTCTACTCCCCATCCTCGCAATTTTTTGTCCTTTTTTTTCCGCGCCTATCTCGTTTCAAAATTATACTCGTCTTTTTTTTTCTTTTGGGCGTGTGGCTTCAGCCGACGGCTGATGCTTCGCTCATCTACATTATCGGTTCATCATTGCTGTAAAGGCGATTTGACAGACGGAACAGGGCGCTTTAAGCGCCGGCGACGAGAATGTTGTTGATGGGAATGTGGACTGGACAAACGGATGTTAGCGCTTGGCAAGGAAGTGTGGGAATAGCTGGGGTCTCATCAGACGCACTCAGCTTGACGAGGTAGCCGACGGTGCCCATGGCGACGAAGCCCATGGCAATGGCCTGAGAGATTTTGATGAACTCTTTGCGGTCGGCTGCGATTGATAATTAGTAAAATAATCAAAGAAAGACACCAGGTCTGTCCGAGGACTGGGCTTGTTGGGGGCGGCGGGTGTTGGGAGCTCGACTTTGGATGATGGGGCAGGTGTCGCGAACAGCTTCAAACGGACGAGTATCTGTTGCACACGGGGCAATTCGCGGAAACACAGATGCCGTCAATTTCCATAGCACCACCTCGCACCCAATTTGCCGCCCCTTCATCCCCGTCGGGGCAGGATCGTTTGTTGGTTTTCGGATCTATACTTACGCTTCTGGCACTTGTTCATGAACTGAATACCCTCCTTGACAAACTCCCTGGGGACGTCAATAAGACTCTCGACCTGATCAGCCATTGCGACTCGTGTGTGTGTATATTTCGAAAAAGAAAAGGAACGAATGAAAAAAATAGGACGTATTAGAAGTCGAGAGGTCAACGGTCGGCGGAGTTGGAAAAGAGAGTTGGCGGCGCGCAAAAGGATGGAATCAAGAACAGATTGGCCACAAAGGAGGTTCAACCCCCCGACTAGCTGGGTCGCACGCCCAATGCCACGTCGCAGCTTGCTTCTCCAAAAGCGCAGAGGTGGCTCGTGCGTCAACCCGAGTTTGGCTAGCTAGTCACGTGTGAGTTACCCGGGAGCAGAAATGCGTTTGCTTCGGACAGCGTCCAGACGAGCAACGAGGTGGTTTAGCCGAGGATTTTGGCTGTTTATTTATTCTTCTCCTTTCTCTTCTCCTTCTTATACGTGGCAGCTCAGGGGTGAAGAGCTGGGTCATGTGCCGTAGCCATTGTAGACGATGTGAATCACTCGCAATGTTGGCCAGAGCTTGACGATATATGCTTGCATGGCAGAGTGATCAAGACTTCACCTGCAAGTGATATTGTCGCGCGCAAAAGCCCGAAAGACAGAACCCATCGGATTGGCGGGTATATAAAAACCGAGCTCATCATTGTCGGGACCAACTGACAAGAAGGGTACGCTTAAATTCGACTTGTACACACCACAGGGTAGCCAACAGCAGAGTTGCAGGATCACCTTGATAAATGTCAAGATCAGGTATACGGTTGGCATATCTATTGGGGCTGGTGTTTTCCCATTCGTGCTTTCAACGCGCAAAATGTCTACATCAGATAAAGGACGACGATCCTACGCGAATATGCTGCGGGGGAGCCATGCTGCTGTTCTGGTGTCGTGCGACACAACGTTAATTCGAAAACAAGCAGGAACCAGAGCGTTCCGCCCGAAATAATCTGGGAAGCAACAATGATATAGCGCTGACGTGAGGTCAATAAAAAGCAATGAAACACATGGCTTTTCTGCTGAAAGTATCATGTTCCCGAATAGGCCAAAAAGATCACAGTTGCATACTTCGCAGGACGTGTTCAGCCGTGCGTGGACAAGACGGTGCTGCAAATAGCACGGGCAAAAAAAAAAAAAACACTCGACGATGGCACGCACGAAAATACATCGCAGATGTAAAAAGCACAACATCAATGCACCAAAAGGGTGTTGACGAGACTCACGATTCATCGTGTCTCGTCAAAGTACGGCTCAGACTGGCACGGTCCGTCCCGGCGTCGCACGGACGGATACATCAGCACAAGTCACATCTCCGAATAATGTGATGCTCAATAACATCATGCCATTCACACACAGTCTCATAAGGAAGTCGCACTGGCTTCCCGTGTACTTGTCAAATGCTCCCTTTCCCAAGCCCGCAAGCCACGCCCAATCCAGCACACCCCCGCGTCACTATCCCAGACAGGCGTCCGAATCACGCTTCAACATCTCACATGCTGACGTACACAGGAAGCAAGTCATGCTCTAGGCACGGTAGGCCTGGGCAGCCTCATTGATTCAAGACATTCACTCATTCACTCTTTCACTTATTCACTCATCACTCACTCACTCATTACTGGAACGTTTGCCCCCTCCGAGTCCCTCTAGGTGGCGGGCTGAACGGCCCTCACGCCACGAGCTCTCTGTGAGCAGCAGCTGTCCGCACCTCTCCCCATGCAAGTTTCCGCACATCAAGAGAGCTCCTGCGCGGAGATGCAGCCGAGCTTCTCTCTTCACAGACTGCCCTTAACCCCCTCAGCTGCCGAGGAGGGGAAAGGTGGGGGAAGGGGAAGCAAGTCTTCATGGTCCCCGGTTTGGAACGTGAACTTGCAAAGTCAGGCGCAAATGCATCCGAGAGGTGGCTGTCTCAGCTGTGAATGTGCGTCCGGGGCATACAAAAAGTCTCCGGACTGGAGCTGCGTGGGCTCTGAATGGAAGACTTCTAGCGCGTGCCTGATTATTGATACCCGAAACAGGCCGACTGCAACCACTCTTATCGTCATGTTTTACCTCAGCATGTGCATCGCTACGAGTTTTTGCTTCTGTTCGGAGGACATGCATAGGTTGACAAGCAGAGGTAGCCGTCCGTAGTCTGTTGACCCTTGTTCACTGCCCCCAACGCCAGCACGGATAAAAGACCACCAATGCTTGTAAATAGCTGTTCTTCTTTTTTGATGCACAGGGGAACAAGATGGAAAAATGGCGGGCATCAAGTGCCCAGTGAGGCGTGTGCATGCCCGCCCGTCCACAGCTGGCAGGACATGCAGGCCAACATGTTGCCCTCTCAAAGCCGTCCAGGTCGAGGAGAATAAGAACATGGCGCAGAAAGAAAAAGAAGTCAGCAAGACACGCCACAACTCTTCCTGTTCTCTTTTGCACATGCATGCAAGGTTCATCGTAGCAGCGTCGGTACCCAGCCATGCCAGCGTGCCAGCCTGTTTGGGTGCGGGCGGATAGAGGTGACCCGACGAGCCACTGACTAGCGACCTGTCGGCGTTCTTTTACACACAGCGCCACTCTATAAATACCAGAGGGAATGATTAAAGAGGTAGCATCGGACCGGAAGAAGGAGCGTGCGGCGTGCTTTCGCCTCTGGTCGGATCTGTTACCTCCCACTCCTCCACATGGACCGTCTCAAACACGAATGCAGCGTGGCAACAGGTGCCCACTGTGCCACTCTCACGATGGCTGGCCAGCGTGACAATCGTCACGCAAACGAGCTTTTTCGCAGAATGCAACAGAGTAAAAGGGCGCAGGTTTGAACCCTGGGAAAGAACCCTGAAGCGAACTTTAATAGCCGGCTGCACATTGAGAGGCGATTGGTGCAGCCTCCCCTGTGGCGTCCTCCTCGTCGACTCGTTACTTGTTACCCCAAGAATCCTGTCCTTTCTTCATCCAATAAAGTCGTCTAGCATCGATCGGCATATGTAATGCATTACACATAACAGGCAACAGGGTCTTTGTGTCCATGTACCGAAGTCGAACCAGACTTGACTTTGTGACCTCGGATACCTTCGATAGACGACTTCAGCAGACAAAATTTCGCGAGATATTCCGTTCGCCGCCGTCATGGACTTATTCATGTTTCGCGCTACCTCGTATTCATGGTGAGCCGCCATCTTTGCTACTTTGCGCTGCTTCATAAGTCATAAGTAGATGCTGCAGCACACTGTATGCTTATGGAACTTATACAAGGTACTATTACCATGCAAGTCGAACTGGCATGTTACCATTTGATGTGCGAGGTAAGCATATGAATGGGAGCCATTTCGATGATACGCCTCGAGGCCCAACATGGCGTTATTCATATGGGCCATGCATCATGAGCAACTGTTGATATCCAGCTTGCACCAACGAAATACAACTGCCAGAGGTGCTGGGCTCTTACATAACATGCCGCGACCTAGGACAGTTTCTGCATGTTGTACAGTTTCGTCGCTAGACCCTTGTGCGGTGGACAAATGTGCTGCACCCGGTCGGCACATTCATAAATGGTTCCCTGAGATGGTAAGTGGTGGATCTGAGGCATTTCTGAAGGTGTAGACTGCGGTTTTTGCTGGTACGAGGAGGAGTCTGCGGCCTAGCTTCGTGGATGCGTACCCATTTCTCATGCAGGCAAACCCGACCAAAACTCGACGAGCGGAGCGGGCAAGCAGGCGCAGGTTGGAGAGTTACACAAGTCGACTGCATTCCGCATCTTTTCTGCCCATAACCGACTTGTGGCACCGAAAATATAGTCACGGTTCTCGTGTGACTACTGATAAAGTGAGCGCTAGATTGTCGGGGCTCCACGACAGAGTGGAAGAAGGGCTCGCTCAAGACTTGGCAACTTGGGCAGCGTGCTTGCACTCTTCCTCTACCCACTTGACATTTAGAATCTTGTTCAGGGGCGGCATCGGGGCTAGATAGCTAGCTTACGAATTGATGCTGTTGCTTGATGAGGCGGTCAAGGCCGCCTGAATAGCTCTGTGCCCAGTTAAAATCGGACAAAGAACGGCGCCAAAGAATTTTTCTTTTGAATGGGCGCCACGAATGAGTTGAATGTAGCACCGCGCTTGGACGCAAAATTTCCCGCCATGGTTATACTTATTATCCGTCGCTAATGAGAGTGCAGAAATGTCCGGTGGCTCGAATGACTCTACGATGCCCCAAACCAGATCGACCGACGTGCCTGTGCAGTGAGTCCCTGACGTTGGTTGCGCTGCCCGGGATTGTGATGGCACCAATTCCGGCGGGTGAGCATCATCGAAGAACGGAGTACGAATATAGTGAACATGACGGCATGAGTAATAGTACCGAGAATGCTCCTGGCACTGTGACACACCCTCTTTTCGTGGTAGCTCGAGGCGGCGATAAAAAATTCATTTTACTTTCAACCCTCGTTAGCCTCGAGGCTCCGCATCCGTGATGACGCTGGCTTGCAGATAGATATGTAGCGTGGGGGAGAGCAATGGCCGTAGAGAACCGGCCGGGTACCGCAGCGCGTCGAAACCCTGGCCAGCTCGTGGCTCGGTGCTTTTGAGTGTCTTTTTGGGGCGGGCCTTGGCGGTGCAGCTGGAGCCAAAGTTGGTATTTGCAGTGGCCATGACTGGCTGGAAGGAAGGCAAGAGGATTCTGGCTTGCCACGCTTGGTTGTGGATGGCTGGACGGGGGGCGACTGTGCGGGAAAACACGACGCAGACGGCATGGTGGGCTGGTGGGCTCATTCCAAAGTGGTGGGTGGCAGGTTGTTTTTTTTTTTTTTTAAAGGCGTTCGAGAACCCATCTGGCCCTGCGTAGTTAGTCTGACAGCGTGGCATGTCAAGTGTGTGAATAATGGGCCAGAGGGCCGACTGCTCTAACTAGGCGACGAGGTACGCGGTGTTTTTCGCGCCGAGCACCGCAGAGGTGGCGCGGCACGAACTTGGCAATACTCTGTGAGAACTTGGGCTGGCTGCTCTGAGACGGGAGGGAGCGTGAACTTGTATTAGACTAGTGTTGATTGGCGATGCTGGTTGGGGTCTTGATTTGGTGGACGTTATGTTTTGAGACCGTGTCGGACCACAACTGCAATCGTAGCATTCAGGTTTAGGAGACTTTGGAAGCATCATTCCGCCGATCATCAGCCTGGCAATGAAGGCAGGCGAGGCATAGTGGTAATGATGGCGGTGACAATAGTGCGTATGATGATGATGATAAAGACGGGCGGAAAGAAGAGGCAAATATGCCGCCGTCTGAGTCTGTGTTTGAGGCAGAGTAATGCAGGTGCCAACGAGTCGGGCAAGAAGACTTGCCACAGCCGCGTTGTATGGGGTACCTGAGCGGGGAAAGCGAGAAGAGGAAGCTGCATGTACGGAGTACATTGTATGGACACCTGTACAGCTTGTGGTGGTCAGTGATCTTTAGGTCATGACGGAACTCCGTGTTAACTATTTATTTAGTTTATCCAAATTAAATATGATATTGGGATGGCATGACCCTCCTTTTTTGCTGGCATGCTTATTTTGATTCCTTGTCTCAAATTATCTTGCGGGGACGGTACTCTGTGCCAGCTCTCCGTACCAAGATTCTGTACGGAGAGGTACCAACGCTCCATACTCGCAAATGCGATGCACAAAGTGTTAGGAAGCGGACGAGGCTCAGTCGGGTCTTTGGGCTTGTCCACGAATCACTGCCACTCAAGAGTCTAAATAGAGTCAAGCAAAAAGTCAATAACCATTTTCTGCTGTCATACCGCGTGCCAGCTTGGGCTGAGCCTGTTGCCAGCCAGCCATTGAAACTGGTTGCACTGGCCCATAAATAAACACTTATTTAATCCACCCTGCCGACGTTTTTTTTTGTTGAAGGTACCCTGTATGGCCATGTATCTTTGCGGCATGCTCCAGTACCTCCAGTCTTGCCAATTACCTAGGTATTACAGGCTTCACGCGCCGGACGAGTGCCCCCCCTACCCTGGTCCGCCCATCGGTCGTCTGCTGTACTCTGCACAGAGTAATCCGTACCAGCATGGCAATATTGGCTGATTTTCTGCTTGGTGTTGTTGTCCCGTATTTATTATTTATTTTTTCCCTCTTTCTTCGCCCTGGGATCCTTCACGTTCCCACACCTCTCCAGACTCCAGCATTATTATTACTATTATTGTTATTCGGATTGCAATCACCCGTGCAAGTTAGCACAGGGGGTTGCTTCATGAGCCGTCAAGCAATGCGCTGGACCAGTCTGTTGGCGTACGAAGTAAGTATGACGCTACAGCAAGCTGAGACGGGGGTACAAATGGACTATCCAGGCACCAGGCTCCCCGTCCGGGAAATATACGGAAGCGCAGCATAGCATGATGGATGAATCATGGGCTGAGATGGGGGAGGGGCAAGAGGAACAGGGCCGTTGGAGACCGGTACAGTCGTCCTAGGTCAGTCGTCGCGCCCCTTGCTATATTTGATTAGGACTGCAACGAGCATCGCCTCGTCGCGGTCCTTCCACAATCAAAAATAACATTCGACAGCGACACCCCGTTCCCACGCCGCCTCTTCCTCCTGTAGGCCGAGGGGCCCACCAGCGGCGTCCATGTCATGGGCCAGGTGACGTTTCCTTTGCACGCTCGCCGCTGTAGCCTGAAGGCGCTAGCCTGCAAATCAAGCTAACTGGTCGAACTGGTGTGGCCCTCTTGTAGGGTGGATTGGAGGTTCGAAATTGTTGGTAATAAGATACCGAAGTATCTCTATGTACGGAGACCCTTTGCATGGTTTTCTTCGCCCCAGACATGACCGCACAACGCATGTACCTGTAACTGCTTGGTCCAATGCCAGAGCGCCGGAGCCCCGTTGAAGTGGATCCTGCGTCCCCAAGCCCGCCCCCCTATCCTATTACTGCCTGGGCTGAGCGGTTGAGTGGGCTGGTGGGCAAGAAAAAAAAGTTCACTAAAGTTTGTACTGCTGGGGGGCCAACCAGAGAAATCTCGCAGAGTCGACAGGGACTTTGCAGTCACCTAGGTACCAGGTATTCAGGTACCTGGTTACCTTGCGGGAGCCACGGTTCATCTCCTACCACAACTTCGGTACCTGTTTTCATCACACATCGTGACTGCGGTTTCATGTATTTTCGTGTTGTCCCAGGATCCGTACCAGAGCCCGCCCATGTACTCCATACCGGGCAGATGCTGTGCACACTGCTATTTAGCCCCCCTCAGCCGAGACTGACTGGTCTAAATACTAACTAACCAGGCTGAGTTGAGTTTGGCTAGGTAAAAATTTAGGAAAAGTGAAAGAATAGAAAGAGAAAACGGCAAACGGCCCAGTGTTGCCCAGTAGACAGGTCCGTGAAAGCGTAGTTTTTTTTTTTTCTGAAATTTTTTTTCAAGTTTCTGGCCCATCAACTTGTTGGCAGAAAGCGGGTGGGAGGCAAAGAGGGGGCAGCGCCCAGCCAGTAGCCAGTCACGCTCGTACTCTGGCCTAGCATTCAGCCACTCGTAACTTGATCTGGTTGGCTGCAATGGCTGGTACCAACACGCCTGTCCCTCCTGTCCTGCCCTGTCCTGCCCTGTCCTGCCCTGTCCTGCCCTGTTGCCCGCTGGACACGTCCGGTTGTGCCGCCCGTAGCCTGCCTGCCAATGCTCCCATACATGATCCCAACCCTTCCTCATGCTCCCACACCTTTTGTCCTTCGTCTTCTCTTCATCCTTCAACCACTCTTCCTCCTCCCCTCTACTCTTCCTCACGACGTATCGAAAGCCGCCGGATTCACCCTCGTCAACCACACGTCGCGAACTTGTCATCGTTCGTCGATCTTGAACTCCGGCCCCTTTTTCGTCTGAGCCTCGACCACTGGTGCTTCTAGCGTTTTGTTGCTGCTGGATCGCCTTTTTTTCCCCGTGTGTATCCTCGATTCCGTGTTTGCGGACGCTTGTCTTCCCAAAACCACCCTTACACTCTTCGATTTTACCGGTGTCTTCAGAAACCGTTTACGGCATTCTTTTTACCAGAGGTTAGTGTAAATCAGCGCTCTTGCCCATTTTCGCCGTCTTATACACCTCGTCGCCCTGGATTTACACGGTGCGACGCAATGTTTTGATGGCTTGCCTCTGGCCAACGCCACCGCGATCGAACCAACGCCCCGTTCAATATATGTATACTTTGGCTTAAAAAGCCGTTGCCAAACACACCGTCCGCGAAACACATCCGCGAGACACATCTACCAACATGCACATCTTCACAGCATTCAGCCGGTGGCTTTCCCCCTCAGCCACGTTTTGAATGGACTTCCTCGAGGCTGCCACCAGACGATGACGGCTCATCGGCCAGAAGAATCGATTTCGTCCTGTACATTCGGCTAACTTTTCCCGCTGCAGTGCTTTGGTCTATCAATTTACCTGTCTTTTCTTCTTACGAATTTGATTCCCGGCCGTCAAATTCTGTTTTCGGCCCCTTTGCACTTCCCGAGTGTACAACCGTTGACTTTTCGAGATACGACCCCACGAAACGCCTCTGCCGTCTACACGCTTAGAAAGACTCGATTCATTGATGGCTAGACTGTCTTACTAGACAATTCGCCCTCTCTTTTCCCACCCTTGCCAGCAACGACTCAACTCGACAGGTACTGAGACGTCCTACTAGTCAGCTGTGGGTTACCGCGCTGCTGCGTCTCTGTGCCAGGATCTCTCATCCGACCAAGGTCTATCCGATCTTTGTCGGCCTCTTCCTCACCGCCCATCATGCCCGGAGGCGTGTGTGCCGTCCTCGACTATGAGGTCGACATGATGGCCGAGTACGTTGCCGAGATGGCAATCCGTCTGGTCACTCCAGAGGCTACCGTCTCTTCGCCCTTCCGCAAGTTTGTCAGGCAGATACTCACTTCCACGAGACTGCCGAGCACAACTATCCTTCTTGGCATGAACTATCTTGCTAAGCGAATCAACGCCATGAAAGGACAGGGAGGGACCTACAAGGCTTCTGAGGGCCAAGTTTGGCGCTATCTCACGGTTTCGCTCCTTCTTGGAAGCAAGTTTCTCGACGACAATACCTTCCAGAATCGTTCTTGGTCCGAAGTCAGCGGCATCTCCGTCGCCGAGCTCAACTCTCTCGAGTATGATTGGGTTCAGGCTATGCACTGGCGCCTCTATGTCAATCTCGACCTGAGCAAGGACTACCAGGCTTGGCTCGATAGTTGGCGCGACTATCAGGACATGAGGAAGCGTCAAGCCGCCCAGGCCTCTCGTGACAGACTGGCCGCCCAGGTCCCGGCCATCGATACCGAAATCACGCGCTACAATACTTCCCGCCACTCTCCCAACTCGCGCTACCTTCAAGCCCAGGCTGCTGAGTACGAGCGATACCAGTCACTCAAAGCTCAGCAACATTACCATGGTCGCGATAGCATCTGGCAGCACAATCCATGGAGTGCCCCACTCACTCCCCCCGATTCGGGTTACGGTACGCCGGACTATGGCATGTCTGCTACTTCTACCAACGCACGGTACAATGAGTGGTTCTCTAACGCTGCCACCCAGTACGCCAATCGCTACCCACAACCAGCTGCCCCTAGCCAGTACTTTCCAAGTCGCCAGTCCGCTTATCCCGCTTATCCCTACCATCACAATGGCTGGGAGCACGGCATGGGAGACTGCAGTTGTGCTGGCTGCGCCGGATCCATAAAGTCCAACTCGTACTTTGCGACTTCTGGCTATGGTCAACCCGTAATGGGTTAAGACCGACCCCAGTGATTTCTTTTGTCCTTTGACACACCCACTCGTTTCAACCACTTATCATTCTTTACTCGGTCTACGGTATAAAAGGGGTTAGGCTTTGTGTTTTTACGACTACGATTTCCACACGGTCTTGTCGAGGACGGCATTTTTTCTTCAGATACCCCAGCCACGGAAAAAGTGAACAGTTTTTCTCGCAAGATGTTTTTCTTTCTTCTTCCGGAGCATATTTTCACGGTTTTCTTTTCAATACGCCTGATGAGCTGGTCGTTGAATTTCTACCTCGCGCAGTAGAACTTCCAGCAGCATCTCTTTTTGGATGTCCCCCACATCCCCGGCGCATCTCGTTTTCACGCTATTCGTTCATAATGGAATTATCGGCGCACTTGGGCATTACGATTTTTTACTTGCATGGGCTTCGACATTTGCAATAGATTTGCTCCGCATTTTTTTCCACAGCACACCACATTCTGATGGATCCGCCCAACGGCGTCTGTCATTAGGGGTTTGCATTGTGCTTTTTTCTTTACTCTTTTGCGAAATTTTTTGTCAAACTTTGCTGTACGGATTGGATCGGCGTTTCATCATTTGGGCCTTCTTGAACTTTTATTTCTGCCATCAACAAAGCTACGAATTCTGCCAGCATAGCACTGTGTTTTGCTTGCTCAAGAATCTTGGCATCGTCGCTTGCAGTCGGGATGAGATATCGTGATATCGAGTCTTCTGTGAGAAGATGGCAGATTGAACGGCATCAGTACATATTCACACAAACTCGAGTTGGGTTTGACGGTCGGCACTTGCCGCCCCCCAAAAAAAGATTGGGTTATCACGAGACGTTATGCATTGCTTTTAGCGGATACATGGCGACTTCTGAGTCAAACTGTTTTGTTCTTCGTTTGTACAGCAATTCCTGCCCTGATACGCTGGCAAAGTGCTTTGACACTCGTTGGCGCATCACTGTCTGAGAACTGCTTTCTTCTTGTTCATGAAACTTTTTTTTTAGAAACCCTTGGTCAAAGGTAGGCATTAGTAGAAAGAGGATACTTTCGATTGTCTAAGTTTAATGAGGACTCTTCAGAGGCGGGCAGTCGATGCTGTCACACAAATTACTCTCTTGAGCCAGCAAATCCTCGATCTGGACAGTGGTTAGGTCCAGTGCAGATTGTGATGCTCAGAACTGTCTATGTATTAGATTCTTGTTGTGTTCAAAAGGAGTTGCAGTTGTGCCGTTGTTACCTGGAAGGCGTCTCGCTCTTATTTGCAACAACAATAAAATTACCAGTATTCCTGTGCATAATGATGGCCGTGGCTTTTTAGTACTTGTTGGTGCGTTAATGTCGTGGCGGCTAAACAGCGGGGCAAACCGCTTCACATTCGCGCAGCGCTTTGGGGCTATCAGATGTACAATCATTGGACATTTCGGTATACTTAACTCTTCGCCAATTGCCGGTCCCGATTCTCACCAAACTTTATTAAAAAAAATATAGTCATTGACACGCGGAGAGTCTCGGCCGGCATCAAGCAGCACCATGTCTGGCCGATTTATCTCTGGTGGGACCATTGGCGCCGGCGAGGACACGGAAGCTGGCGCGAGCACTGGTAGCATCAACCGTCCTGCCGACGGCCCCGACGCGGCGCGCAAGGCGGCCGAATGGGACAAGGTGCAACAGCAGCTTGACGCGGACCGGCGACGCCGCGCGCAGGCGGCGGCGGCGGCGGGGGGCGAGGAGCGTAGCCTGTACGACGTGCTGCAGAGCAACAAGGCGGCCAAGGAAGCGGCGGCGGCGGAGGCGTCAAAGCTGACGAACCAATTCCGGGCGCTGGACGACGACGAGGTGGCCTTCCTGGACGAGGTGAGGGCGAGACGGCGGGCGGAGGAGGAGAGTGTGAGACGGGAGACGGAGGAGGGGCTGAAGAAGTTTCGGAGGCAGTCGGCGAGGAGAGAAGACGGGCGGGGAGTAGAGCAGGAGGAGGAAGAGGAGGGGGAGAGCTGGGGGACGAGGAAGAGGAAGAGAGGGAGGGAGAGGGAGGGTGGAAAGGGAATGGGCGTGGTGAGGAGGAGAGTGGTGAGTGGGGTGGACGAGGGGAAGAAGGACGGGGAGGAAGAGAATAAGACCGAGGAGAAAAAGATTGAGGAGAAGAAGATCGAGGAGAAGAGGGTCGAGGAGATGAATATGGCAAAGAGTGGAGAGGAACAACTACGGAAGAAGACGGCGCTGGCATTGGTTGATTATGGCTCGGATAGTGACGATTGATGCTTGACGCTTGACGTTGCGGTGTTTTGTATTTTCTTGTACATTATAAGTTTGATGCGTAGTTTCTCAGACTCGCAATCCTACACCAATGTCATCGAACAATTCTCAGTGTTCAAGCGATAACTATTCTCAAGTTCAGAGTGCGCTGTATTTTGTCTACCCAGTTGTATATGGAGAGTATGATAATGCCGATTAGTATACATGAAGAGCTCTTCCGACCTCTGCTAGCAAAAGGCGATGCTCTATTATAGTACAGTTTATAAAGAAAGACCCCAATCTATGCTCTATTCATCGTCCACGTTGCCCACATTCGGCCGCCACGGCTCATCCGTCCACTGCTTGACACCCCAGCGCCACAGCCCGCGCATGCTGCCTTTGATGAAGCCCTCGACAGCCTCCTCTGGCACCACCACCTCCCTCGCGCGCGCCTCGTCCTCGGGCCGTATCTCAAACCGCCGCATGCGCTGCGCGACGCGCCCGTCCACCACCATGGCGTCTGCCCACACATTTTCCTTTGGCGGGCGCGCCTTTTCCTCGGGCGTGCGCGTGTCGTCTTCGGGTTTCGGCGGCTCGTCGGGCGTCCAGACGGACTTTGGCCAGTTGCGCTCCTCATGGCGCAGGAGGCGCTGCTGTTCAGTCTCGGCGGTGTCGGCGTCGGCGGGGTGGTACTCGCGCGAGGCGGCGAAGCAGACGGCGGCGACTTCGCGGCCAATGTCGTCGGCGAGGGCGCGGCGGTTGAGGAACCAGCCGAGACGCACAAAGGTGTGGCGGAAGCCGAGGCGGTGCGGGAACTGCACGGCGGTGGAGGGCTGCAGCTGGGAGGGGATGGTGCTTGGGAGGGAGGCGGCCTCGTAGTCTTGGGGCTTGTTGTAGGGAACGGGCTGCGGCGGGCGCTTTGGTTTCTCGTCCTTTTTCGCCTCTTCCTTCTTCTTCTTCTCTTCTTCCGGCTTGGAGGCGGCGGCATCGTCTTGAACGTCGGGCGTCGTGACCGGCTCAGGTATATCCGGCACCACCGGCGCCGGCGGCGGATCCAGCGGCCCCAGCCAGCCCTCGTGCAGCCCGCGCACGTACTCCTTCCACGCATGCCGGCCAAAGACGACGTCCCCATGCACGCCCTGGTACGGTGGCAGCTCCAGCCTCTTGCGCAGGTCCTCGACGACGCTCTCCCCCGTGGCGGGCATCTCCTCACCGGGCCGCTCTGCCGCCCTGCGCGTGCGCCGGATGCGCTCCGCGACGGCTGCGCGCACGTCGCCCTGCTGGCGGCCCTGCACAAACTCCCAGTCGACGCCCGCGGCGGCCAGGACCGGCTTGGCGTACTCGATGAAGTGGTCTTGCGCGGATCGCAGGCCGTCGCCGGGCGGCGCGGCAATGTACACGGTGAGTCGGCGCGGGAGCTGGTTAGCGGCGCCGATGGGCTCCCGCGCGAGGGGTGCGACAACACGCCGCCACTTTTCGGTCGCGCGCGTCTTTTCACGGCGGTCGTAGATGATGGCACCGGAGACGGTGCCGCAGATGGCCCAGAATATGAGCCAGTTGCGCGAGGGCAGCTTCTTGGGGAGGTTGGGCAGGCCCATCATGCGGAGGGCTGGGTTGCCGGGCGGCGGCGGTGGTGGAGGTGGTGGAGGAGGGACGGGGACCGCGGGCGCGGGAGCAGCAGCGCCGCCGATTGGGATGGCGGCGGCCGGTGGTTTCGAGGGATCCGCCATCGTGTGTTTGAGGAGGGATTGGGTATCAGGTGTTGTCGGTCGCCTCGGTTGGTTGGCATGCGAGATTTCGGGAGAGAGGTAGAGCGTAATAACCAAGTGACCCTTTTGGAAAAAAAACAGCTGCGATAAGGATGGGCTGGGATGGCGATAAGCTAGCCGCAAATTACCGTGGTTCAGCCGACTTACAGTGCAGAGACGACGGGCCACATTGTGACACAAACATATACCTAGACGATGGAGTATTTTTAGTACAGGCAATGGTTGGGTGTACAGAGTAGTACAATTGGAATCTCTATGAGTAATTTTCTGGTTGTTGCAGAGACGTCCGGATGGTGTCAACATATAGACTTGAAGCTACGATATCCAGAACCAGAGTATCAATTTGAGACAATTTTTAGACAATGACTTGTAATTGTGAGTAGGAAAAGCCAGATTGCAAGTGAGACTTGATATTTGATCAAAATCACGGATATGGACACTTTCGGCTGCAACTGAGATAGAGGTAGCCTCTGTTACCAAGCACCTCGTTAGTTACTTACCTAGCTGGGGTACAGACCTGCGACGAGCAACGCAAAATTACCTAGTCAAGGACCGGACTGCAAGTGAATCGTCATTCTAGTTCGCAAGGTTTCACAAAAAAACTGTTCCATCACCGCTGCCTGAAAACTCGTAAAAGCAAGCCACCAACGACTGCTTGCCTGTGTGCCTGGCAGCCAACCCCCCCCCACGGGCTCAGCCAGCCCTCCGCTGTTTGCCCCGCCCTGCTCGACCCTCCCCTGAACCTGACCGCCATCGCGTGCGGGAGCCAGATGGGCCAGACCTTGCCTCTTCCTTGGACATCCTTGGCTGGCAGACCTTTGCATCTCCTTGCCGTGCCCATCGATTCTGCTGTCCCCACGGTTCTGTTCCTGCAACAAGCCAGCTCGATCCATTTTCCTCCACGACAGCTCAACTCTCGTTGGCCTTGTTGATCTCGCCCGCCGCCCGCCGCCCCCCTCCCCCTTCTCAGGCCCCGCGTTTCGAATCTCACTTTTTGGGTTGCACTTTGAGCTATCCTCTGACACGAGCTTTCTGCTACTTTGCTCCTCTGGTGCTTGCAGAATCTTGGCTTCGGATCAATACGGCATTGAGAGAAAAGTTAAACAGTGTACTGCTGCCAAGATGGACGGCAACAATAACAACCGTCTGCACCTCAACTTTGGCAACGACCGTCTGCCCATGCCCAACGACCGCACATACCCGACGACGCCCTCGACTTTTCCGCAGCCCGTCTTTCCCCCAAGCTCCGCTGGACAGCTGCAGGCTGCAACGATGCAGCAGCAAGCCGCGTACGGCGCCGCTGGCTACGCTCCCCAAGGCTACTTTTCCCAAGGCCAGTACCAGCAGCAGTCTCCGCTGCCGCAACAACCTCAATATCCTTCCGTCAGCTACGACTACAATGGCGTGACCGCCCCCGGCGGCGGCGCCCAGTACCAGCAGCCTCGCTCCAACACGCCCGGCAGCGACCCCAACACCGGCCTCGCCCACCAGTTCTCCCACCAGAACCTCGGCGGCGTCGCCGTCCGCCAGGCCCCTTATGCGCCGCGCGCTGGTGCCCACGCCCAGCGGCCCCGTACCGCTGGTGGCAGCTCCCAGCAGCCCACCTACAGCAACTACTCCAACATCCCGCTTCCCACGCAAGGCGGCGCCTCCGCGCCGTGCGAGTTTCAGCCCACGCCCGAGAGAAACCCCGACAAGTACGGGAGCAATGCCAACAGCAACCAGAAGAAGTGCTCCCAGCTTGCCGCCGACTTTTTCAAGGACAGCGTCAAGAGGGCCCGTGAGAGGAATCAAAGGTATGCTCCCATGTTCATGCCAGCTCCAACTTGAGAGCAGCTGCGCTGACCCCCGTGATGCAGACAAAGCGAGCTGGAGCAAAAGCTTCATGACCCTGCCACAACTGCCGCTAGAAAAGAGCAGCTTTGGTCCACGGCAGGCCGGAAAGAAGGACAGTATCTGCGCTTCCTGCGCACAAAGGACAAGCCCGAAAACTACACCACCGTCAAGATCATCGGCAAGGGCGCCTTTGGCGAGGTCAAGCTGGTGCAGAAGAAGGGCGACGGCAAGGTGTACGCCATGAAGTCTCTCATCAAGACGGAAATGTTCAAGAAGGACCAGCTCGCCCATGTGCGCTCAGAACGTGACATTCTCGCCGAGTCTGACAGCCCTTGGGTCGTCAAGCTGTACACCACTTTCCAGGACACTTACTTTTTGTACATGCTCATGGAGTTTTTGCCTGGTGGTGACTTGATGACTATGCTCATTAAGTATGAGATCTTTTCCGAGGACATAACTCGCTTCTACATTGCCGAAATTGTTCTCGCCATCGAGGCTGTTCACAAGCTTGGCTTCATTCATCGGTATGCAAAAGTATCCTTTAGACTCGTCTTTGCCGCTAACTCTGTGCAGTGATATCAAGCCCGACAATATCCTGTTGGACCGTGGCGGCCACGTCAAGCTGACCGATTTCGGTCTGTCCACCGGCTTCCACCGTCTACACGACAACAACTACTACCAGCAGCTGCTGCAAGGCCGCTCCAACAAGCCCCGAGACCGCAACTCGGTTGCCATTGACCAGATTAACCTGACTGTCAGTAATCGTTCCCAGATCAACGACTGGAGACGCTCGAGACGTCTGATGGCCTACTCTACCGTCGGCACCCCCGACTACATTGCCCCTGAAATCTTCACGGGCCACGGCTACACATTTGACTGTGATTGGTGGTCGCTGGGAACCATTATGTTTGAGTGCCTGGTCGGCTGGCCCCCGTTCTGTGCCGAAGATAGCCACGACACCTATCGCAAGATTGTCAACTGGAGACAGACTCTGTACTTTCCCGACGATATTACCCTCGGTGTCGAGGCGGAGAACCTCATCCGAAGGTACGTGACGTGCTAAACCCTACAATAACACAATAACACAATAACACAATAACACAATAACACAATAACACAAAGCTGACAATCTTCTAGCATGGTTTGCAATACCGAGAATCGTCTGGGACGTGGTGGCGCTCACGAGCTCAAGAATCATGCCTTCTTCCGTGGCGTCGACTTTGACGGTCTGCGCCGCATCCGCGCGCCGTTTGAGCCTCGCCTCACCTCCAATATTGACACGACCTACTTCCCTACCGATGAGATTGACCAGACTGATAACGCCACCGTCCTCAAAGCGCAAGCCCTGCAGCAAAACGGCAACCGTCAGGTCGAGGAGTCGCCCGAGATGAGCCTGCCGTTTATCGGCTACACCTTTAAGCGATTCGATAACAACTTTCGATAGAGGCTCCGCATGTCAGTGTATATAGAGGCTGAGATGGCAACATTCGGGAGCAACACAACATAAGAACAGAATGTGAACAATAAAGGTTTCAGCTGCCTGAAAATGTCATGTGTGCGGAGAAGGCGATGCTCCTTTTTTGTCTAGTAGTGCCGCTTGCATCAGATTACGCGTCTTGAAGGACGCGGTGTGCTTTCAAGGTCCTAGCATTGGTCAGCGAGAGGTCGACATTCAGTCGTCATTCACAGTGAAGAATGAATCATAAATTTGCGCAACGAATACAAAGGTTGATCAAGCTTGACAACACGAAAGTAGATGAAGACGGCCAGAGGCCGTGTGTTATTATGTTTCTAGATGATTTGATACAGATTCCCAACGCCGAGCCCATTGCCAAATCTACACAAAGAAACATTTGTCCCAAAGTTTCGCCGTATACCGCAGATGATGAACAGGAAAACAAAAAAAAAGTAGCAACAAGTTTGTACAATGCTCGTCAAAGTCGCACCGCCCCCCCCTTTTTTTTTCATCTCGACGTCAAGCCCGGCGCCGCATTGAAGCGCGCCTCCCTCTCCGTCATGAACATGACCTGTACCCAAAACTCCTTTGCGTCGGGGTCCCAGAAGCAAAACTGCTTGTCCTCGCGCTTGTCGAGCTCCCTCGCCGGAATCTTGAAGCCGACCGTCTCGTACGGCTCGGCCGCGACCAGAAGATACTGGTAGTTCCTGTCCGGCTCCTCGACGCGCTGCGTGTACGCATTCATCACCTGCCACTTGGGCTTGGTCTCGGGCGTCGCCTCGGGGTACTGCAGCTGAAACAGCAGACCTTGCTGCCGCGACGCCGGATCCCGCACCTTTGTAATCTTGTAGCCCGGCCGCCCAATCTTGACCATGTTGCGCCGGGAGCTGTGTATGCCCGCCGCCACGGCCGTCGGCAAACCCGTCGCAGGGTCAATACCTGCCGCGGCGGCTGCGGCTTTGCCCTCGCGCTGCTCGCGGGCGGCGCGCCGCGCGAGGTTGGTCTGGTGCTTCTTGCCCTGCGTGTGCGCGAGGTAGGAGCCGTCGTTTTGGTGCACCGTCAGGCACAGGCGGCACTCAAAGGTGCCGACGTGGTTTTTGAAAAAATAGGGGTCCTTGTCGAGGTCAATCGTCTCGAGGGCGAGCTTGCGCAGGCGCTCGCGGCGGTCGGCGTTGGTGGCCGAGTGCGAGGCGACGCCGCCGCCGCCAAACTTGGAGCCGGCGCGGTTTTGGTAGTCCATGGTGCAAAGTTTTTGTGCAGAGCTGGTTGTTCGGCTTTCGTAAAAATGAAAGGAGAAGCTAAAGGGGGGGGGGGGGGGGTGGGATGATGGCTTGTGGTGATGATGGGGTGCGCGCGTGAGGGAGGAGAGAGACGACAATGGTGATGGCGAGACAAAAAGGTTTGGTGTTGAAAAGTTGACGCCTGCAAGGCTGGGGTGGGGCCCGCTGATGGTTGTGCAACAGAACCCCGACGTGTATATTAAGTAAACGGTAATCGTTCATGGATGAAATACAAACGAAGAAGAAGAAATGGGGGTTAGAATAGACTGTAATTCCATTTTTTTTGTATTGCTTTGCTGTGATGGAATAGCGGCTACGTACAGTAATCGAGTGTTCCCAGCATCGCTGGCGCGGTTTCATTGGCCATTGGTGTATGACTTATCACGAGCCTCAAGTGTGCGAAAAACCGAGGCCGATTCAAACATCCAAATCGGCGCGCCCTCGCCATCCGAGCCCTGTTTTTATATACTAGCAGACCTTTATTTTTGTTTTTTGTTTTTTTTCCTTTTCTTGAGCAATTATGGAACAAATTCCCACATGTTACCAAAGATTTCCGGTTCTCCGACGATAAGGGAGTTGTGCAATTTCGGCGTATGCCCTCATGATGGCGAATTGCTTGGGTGCGCGACGTTCTGCGCCTGCATTCTTACAGATGCTGTAAAGTGATTGGATGGCAGATACAGAAAATACGTTTTCAGGACCCCAGTTGCGAATCTCAATCATAGCCAAGTTTTGGTAGCCGTTTTCTACGGGCTGGGGAGCCCAAGTGAAATGAAAACCCCCAGATTGAGAACGAGAAGCATCATGGCCGTGGCTTCGCTAGAATCGAAATACATCATAAGCCTTGCCGCAAGAGTATAATACCCTTGCTGGAATGTAATATTGCACTCTCTTTGCCCAGAATTCTCGTACGTCTCGTTGATTTGTCTCAGCAGCTCCCATGCTAGGTCCATATCCACGGGTCCTGGTGTGTTCAAGAGTGCTTGCAAAGCAAACTCTGTGATTGAGTTTTCCGCACTCGCATGTCGATGTCACGGGTCTTCTTCTTCATCTCGTACAAGTAGCAAGTGCAACACAAATTCCAAAGACTAAACTTTTTCCGAGTTTGTTCGTAAGACTCCTCCGAGCCCACTACTGTGTAACGGAGCTTCAGCTCTGTGCCTGCGGGCAAATCCTCTGTTGCACGTATTATAATCACGTCTCCAGAGAGTGTTCAATGCAATTGGCGATACAGGAGTGATTAATGTAAGAAGCCGTACACAACTGCCGCTGCTGGTGAACCACGACTTGTCGTTGTCAAGCTCCCCATCCAACACCGTTCTCAAGTGCTTGAGTATCTATCTAGGAGCGGTCAAGGCATTCGTGGAAATGATTCTTGCCGCAAGAAAACTGTGTCTCATTTGAGAAAGCAGTCTCGGAAACGAAAAGATGGAGAGACGTACGAATCAACTACTGGCTTACAATCAACCCGCAAACCCGGCTGCGGTGCTGTGCAATTGCCGTGATCCAACTCCAGGTATAAGGGGGCCATTCCTGGTTCATGGTATAATTTCTAAACAACTTGAGTCACGTCTTGGAGGTAGCAGTCTGGGATTGCGTTGATTGTGTCCGGATACACAAGGAAAGCCCTATTTCGCTTCTCACCCTCACCTGTAAAATTAAAGGAAAAGGCCTTCTCGCAGAGTAACAGTTCGCCTGTGACAACGGGTTTGGTCGTGAACAGGCCACGACCCAGCCCGGGTGATTATTTAATCTCGGTATTCTTCGAAAAGGTGGCATAGTCAATGAGCGGAGGTGAGTACTTGGCTTGTCTATGCATGTCTAGCCCGTCGAATCTATGCATGTCTAGCTAGTCGATTATGCCATGGCTGCATTCTTTCAACTTTGTGTTGACCCTTTTGATCTCAGATGAAACTCCTGTGCTACTGGGGTACAGACTTCGAAGCTCCTGGAACCCGAGCAGACATTGATCAAACTTTTGAAGCTTGTACAAGCATGTTGCCTCCTGAAACATTCCCTTCTCAGTTGCTGGTAGCTCGGACTTCATTGCAAACGCGTCATTGCATGCATCTTCGAGTCTTCCGAGTCGGAGGTTGACGAGGGTACGATTGACATGGGCGATTTGAGTATCGACAAGAGTCTGAGAATTCTTGACTGCCTGTGTGTAGCTGTATGGATCATCAGTCTTATGAAAAGAGAAGGTGAGAAGAGTTCTTTGCTTACTGTTGAAAGGCGTTTTCTAGTTCATTCTTGTTGAAGAAATGGTTGCCGCGCAATATTGTTTTCTCATTTAACATATGCGTATATTAGGAGGTGTTTAGGTGTTATTTATCCTACTAATAATACGCCTTACTAAGTTAGCTTTTTTATATAGAAAAACGTTAAAACTGCGTATATACTTTGTGCTTATTTTGCCCTTAGACTTTATTACTAGATTTCGAGATAATCATGACGGATGCATAAGAGTATCCGGAATCAAGACGTCGCGGCGCGGAATCTGCTAGTACTCTGATTCGCCACGTGCTCAGGTTGCTAGATTTCCCCGTTGCCTTCCAAGCGCAACCGTGCTGTGCCTCTCCGCCTGTTACAACAAGGGTCAGCTTTCGGCCATCCCTCTATGGGCTGGGATTTAGAAAGAGAAGCCACAAGTTAGACTGTAGGTCTACGGGTTAAACATCATCTCCTTGCGCATTAAGTTGTTCCTCGTTAAAAGGGATTACCGCCGTTGTATGAGACTGAGTCGGTGACGCCACACGGCGCTTGTCTCTACGGGGTTAAATATTATGCGCTAATTTGTCAGCTGTTTACTGACTCAAGCTTAAAAGTAGATTGCTTGTCAACCAATAGCTCCGTGAGTATGATATTCTCACAAGCGCCAAGATGAGTTTTTACATCCTTGCTAGTTTCAGGCACATGGCTCGGAGAGTATCACAAGTTTCAGAATAAGTGTTCAGGTCAACAGAAGGCTAAACAACTATTAAATTCCATTATCAGAGACTACTTTTGATTTTGAACAGTATATATAGGGTCAGAACAACCTCTAGCTAGAATACCTCTCACCAGTATATCACAAGCTTCAACCACCAGCGAATACCTTACTCATCAAGTTTTTGTTACAAAGTCTTTAGATGAAAATGAAATTCTCAATTACTCTCGCCCTTTTCTTCACTGGACTAGCTACGGCCAGTCCGCTGCTGGTCCGTGAACCACAGCAGTCCAACGACGACGACCTCCAGATAAATGACTTCTCTCTACCAGACGCACCCTCCAAACCCGTGGATCCTGGCTTTACTCTTCCGGACCCGGTTTTCAATGGCCCTACAAACTCAAAGGGCATTACTAAAGATGGCTGCGATGCAATTCGCAAGAACCATGGCCCGGAATTAGCTGCTAAATCCGGGGTAAGAATCCTCCTCCTTATATATAACGATAAAGTAGCTAACTTAGTGAAAGTGCAACGAATTTCAACAACGCCCCGAGGGTCCTGGCCTTTCTTTTGAAGACGTGGTTGATAATGGCCCTAAAAACTCAAAGGGCGTTTCTGAAGTTGGCTGCACTAGAATTCTTCACAACCATGGCGCGAAGCTAGCTGCTGAATCT